GATGCAATCTGTTTCACTGTAGTTTGCAATCTGCAGTTATTCAGACCCTCATGACAGTATCCTCAGACTGCAGAAGTTTCTCCAAGAGACTTATTGTGAAATTCTAATTTGACAGCAAGAGTGTGTGAAGTAAATTAGCTGAGCTATACCTTACGGCTTCTCTACACACATTATTTATGAATAATCAATTCTAAAATTCCTCATGTGGAATGCTTTAGTTTGGAATGTGCACGTCTGAGTGCCAGGCAGATTTAGCTTATGGTGGTAGATGAGAAGCATGATGGGAAGGAATGTAGGATTTATCCTTAATTAGCTATTATACATGGCACATCCAATTCCCACCCAGCAGCCTACTGCGTTAGCTAATACATGCTTAAAGCATACCTCTTGTCCTTAGTGCCACCTTTTCTCCAGACCAGGCGCCAGTCCAGACAGGAGACAGCCTTCTTTTCTGCAAATAAGCATCTTCTGTTGGAGAGCAGATTGCTAGATATAAGTAAAAATAAACACCAACTGAATCAGATAATTCTCCGAGCGGTTGTTTTCCTTGTCCTCGAAATGTCACCAGTTCCAGATTTATTTCCTTCCCTGATTCTCAGGTAGAGAATCTGTTCGGAGGGAGTTCTTCCTGCAGGCAGTAGGCATTTGGTGAAGCTACACCTCTACACAGGAGACATAAACCAGCCAAATGACTCAACTGGAAAAAAAAAGAAAAAAAAAAGAAGAGTTATATGCAGTGAGATCTTTTCCTTGTGGGATATTTAGACTGTAAGAAAACAAAAATACTGGTGAAGGCAAAGACACACAAATCACTGAAACTGTCTTCTCCCCAGTGGCAGTGTGAGCCACCTAGAATTTAATTTTCAGAAGTGCAGCCTGCTTGGGCCCTGAGGTTCCTGTCCCTTTTTTTTGTCTTTCATGGGAAGAGGAGTCTCAGCGTGAGTTCAGATGTTACAAACATGTCAGTGTTTATAAGGGAATGTCACTTCCCATCTGCAAAACTTGTTGCGTTACACAAGAAAAATGATTACTCATTTCTTCTAGATCAGAACGTATGTGGGTTACTCTAACAAATGCCTGAGGAATTCTGGGCGGAGGCAATGGACATAGAACAGCTACAGATGACTTTAAAATGATTATAAATGTTCAGAGAAAGTAACAGTTTTTGTAGTTTGGAGTAAAAAAATGTTAATTGTTCCATATTGTGGCTTCCTTGCCGACAGAGAACAAACCCAAATTTAATTCTGCCATCACAGGAATTTTGGCTGAGTTAAATGTGAGAAAGGATTTCAATTCTGAGCATGAAATTTCTTTTTACTGTGATTTTGGATATAACATATGCCACAGAAATGAGGAAAAAAACCCCTGCTGTTAGCGTGAGGGCCTTCTGATAGTTCTGAAGGATCCTGTGCATCTCAGATTGAACACAGATAGGTTTTGAAAGGTGTGAGTTTTATTTGTATCGATAAGGCTTTATTTTTCAAGGGGATTTAATGGTCATCAGAGCTGTGCTGTTAATCAGATAATCCAAATCAAAGTCAAACTGTTGCACTTAACATTTTAAATTTAATTACATCATCAGCAAGTGGATTTGAAATACCTATTTTTGCTTTCATATATGTTGTTAAGAAAATTTAAAGCCATATGTAACTCACCACATTTACGTGCTGACCACTGGAAAAGAAATGCTAGAAACACAGAGTACTGATTTGAATTATTCCAAGAGTATCATGATCTTAGAATGGCCCTTGGAGAAGGGACCCCAAGGATCATCAAATAAAAGGTACTAGATGTATTATTAGACATAGTATTATTAGAATGCCTTAACAGCTGTTAGACATCAAATACTTAACACATGAGAATAATACAGACATTTATTATTTTACAACTCCAGTATTGATCCAGTTGTTAGTCTTTCTAAATATTGAATTATGTAAATAATAGTCTTACAGCTTAACTTTTATGTACTGATTTTGGCAATTGAAGACTGATATTACAGACTTCAATCTATTTGTACAGCACCTGCAAGCTGTGGGGGCACCAAATAGACCCCTGGTATGTAAGCAATAATATAATTGTTCTGCTTGACAAGGTCATAATATGATTTCTGATTCCATATTCACAGGTTAGGACAATTCCAAGAAGACAGATATTCAACATCATAATTTTAGTATTGCACGTCTTCTTAAAATTTCTCTTTCCAGAATGAAGCCAGGTCTCTGAGTTGCAGCTGGAGAATGAGGGCAGCTGAGGCCACTCCAAATCTCAGGAGATCAGTAGTGTCACAGCTGATGAGCTAATTGTGGATTATTTGGGTCAGACTCTGTTCTCCTAGGTGTGACTTGGGTGACTTAAAAAAGGTTAATTCATTCATTTTGTAGGGGTTATAGCATAAATGAATTATAACTGTTATCCTGTTACTCATTATAGAAGTCCAATATTTCCTATAAGCAGATGTTCTGATTTTATAACATCTTTTGTAAATGACTAAACATATCTTAAAGACATCACGTGAACTGTCAGCAATTATGTTGTTATTACATTGGTATTAGTTACATCCATTTTGAAGGAAGCTCAGAAGGAAAGCGTTGACTCAGAAAACTGCTGTTAACAACTGCTTCCTTTGCACTGTGCATCTGTTGACTTTGTGAAGGTGTGTATGAAAAACAGGCCGTCGTAATGCCTCTCATTCACTTGGTCATACATTAAGCTGACCATTCACTGATACACGAGGAGACAGGGTTTGTTACGTATTGAAAACTTATGTCCCTAAAGAGATTGAAAAATACTGGCTAATTGAATTACAGAATATCTCATAACTGCATTCACACGCTTTGGAATTTTCCACATTTCTTGCATTTCTGTCTTCAGACTATCTTGAGGTAATCACTGAATTACATCGAGGACAACAGAAACTGCCATCACAGTGCAGTCCTACATTCTCTTTGGCAGTGAAGGCAGTTTGGGAAGCTCCAGCCCCCCCCCACTTGCTCCCACTTCCTTGCCTGCTGCTCTCTACCCTTTCAGCTGTGCTCTTACAGCTGTTTGTGGCTATAAGCTGAGTAACTGAGTTAATAATCATCTTTTACCATGAGACTGGTACAGCCTGACCGTGCATTCCCACAAACAGTGCTAGAGAATGTTTTCACAGTAATTTCAAACTGAATTAGACAGAAGTACTGCACAGAAGAGCAGTCCCACCTCTTTCAGGCTACCAGTCATTTTTTTCCTAACTATTCAGTAACGTGCATTGCTGTGGTCAAATGGTCAAATCTACCAAAGAATATACAAACATAACTATTAAAGTCATCTGGAACAGAATTCTCCCGACTACAAAGCTTTCTGTTTGGGCAGGATGGGGGTTCTTTACTGTTGTTTTGTTCCATGGGCACAATGGATGGCAGTGAGTGTGTTCTGCCCGTGACGTAGCTTCTCTCATGTTCTTTAACTAATCCCACTCATCTTAATGGAGACCTTTCTCATTCATTGACAACACCTGAAGTAATAATTAATCTTTAAAAAAATACAAACAGCATGAGCCTGCATACAGTACCTTGCAGGTATCTTTATGAACTTCTGTTTCCACGATGAGAGGCTGCAAACAACCTTTGAAAAAAGGGTTTCAGATTGGTTTGGTTCTCCAAAACACTTATCTTTCATGCTGGAAAATAACATCTTGTAAATGGAATGTGCTTTCTGATGTCTCTGCTTCTGACATACAGGCTGGGAGATACCACTGCTGGCTCTGTCTAATGGTGGGGTGTGTGTCTGCACGCAGTGCATGTGTGTCCAGTTCTTCTTTTGAAATCTCATTGTGTGAAGCTTGATTTACTATGTGCCTTGTAGAAGCTAACTGTAATGCATGTAATAGTATTTTCCAAGTAATACTTTCCTTAAACAGCCAATTTCTCACTACTGTTTTATTGGAGGAGTCCTGTTCTGTCCTAAGCTCTGCACTGTCTTTACAACGCACTGCAGTTGAAGAAGCTCTCTCTGATTTTTGTTGACCTTCTTTTAGTTTCCAGGTGCCAATTACTGCTGGATTCAATTTCCTGGAAACCTACGTTCTCAGCGTACTCAGGGAGCAACCCATGCTTACTTACTGGGTGCTTTATCTCTGTCCAGTAGTCACCCTCAACTTAATTAGCTAATGTTGTGTTTGGCTATTCAATATTTATGCATCACTGAGACAATCACATTGCAACCCACTCTATTTGTTGAATGCCTTTCATAAAAACCCTTTGTACCCATAGGGATTGTTTCAAAGATAAACTGCATCAGCTCTGTGTATTTGCAGGTAAAGTTTGGCTGATGGAGCTGCTGTATCAAAGCAATATGCCCTTATTATTAATGACTCCAGCATCCACGCCTTTCCTTGGACAATATAATGCTGCACTGAACCTGCTGTGAAGAGTTCATCTGATTCGAAGGGAATCACACAGTAACAAGGTGAGTATCTAGGAAGTAAGGAGAACATTTCCATCAAAGCTATGTGGGCTGTTCGGTTTTGTTTGATTGAAGCGTTCTTTTTCCAGAAAGTGTAAGTTGTATTTGGAATGTGTAAACGTTCAGCTTTTTCTTCTGTGAAAACTATGGTTTTTCAGGTCTCTTCAAGAATGATAGGAACGTTTCTTTTGTGTTGTTGACACAACTGAATATTTTTCACGGGGAAAACATGTTTCTATTCCCCTGTAGTTCACACTTGTATCAACAAAAGTTCAATTTTTAAAGCCAAATTTATCAGAATAAATGGGATCTATCACAATTGACTGGGTTATTCATTAACTGAGGTGACCCTGGATTTGATCTCACCTATAAAAGCAAAATTTAGTGCTCCAGTGCTAAATCCACTGCCTGTGTATTGAGAAGATCTACTTCCAACTGGTTCCAGCACGGTGGTACACTGAGGAGTACCCCAAACGAGCAGGAGCAGCAGCTTTGACCACAGCTGGCCGGAGCAATGAACCAGGTGCCCAAACTCTCTTGTTCCTTGCCATGTTTTAAGCCAGACAGCTTTTCTCATGTGCTTTCACAGTCACGTCTCCTTGTGTTTTTGATTGCAACACTGAATATTAAAAATCTCTTCATTTCCTTCAGATGTTTGAGGAAAGTTTCCTGTTTTTTTTCTGCTCTATTTGTATGATTGATGTTTCAGCTGCAGTACAAAGTAGAGACTTGTAAGAGGCTGAATGTTAACTGGACCCACACAGATAAGTTGCCCTAAACTGATGTCTATCCTTTATAATGAAGAGATGCAGTCTTTGTTGTATGCACACGCACCGTGTTTCTCCTGTGATATTTCTCTCTGTGATTGTAAAAAGATCTCTGGGTAACAAAACTTCTCCTGTTCAGTCTGACTGACTCCATTAAGTACAGCAAAGGGAGGCGTGATACTTGTTATGTTTTCAAATTCCACGTTAAAATTTAATTAAAAACTCCTTCAGAAAAATGACTTTGCATTCGTATCATATTTGTTTATCTGTGACTCTTATGACTTTTCCTTCACACATTGCAAACGTACTGTTCTTTTTCTTCTGAATTACCTTTTAGGGAATGGCAGAGATCACATGAGGATACCCAAAGCTGGGACACTGACTGCTGTGCTGGTAAACATCAATCCAGGATGAAGTCTGGGTTGTTTGAAGAGCAACAGTCAGGGCAAAACTCAGCATCTCTCTCAGACAGTATCAGGTGGGGGACCCTGGCTGTACCCTTAGGCCAAAGCCCAGGGATGGCCCAAGCATTCCATTTCATTCTGCACCGTGGTTTGTTCATCTAGAAAGTAAAAATAATAGCAGCAGCTTGTTTATCTGTCTGTGTGGTCAACACATTTTACTAAGCATTGTTTATAAATTGAGATTCTCATGAAAATTGCTGCACCAAATAGCTTATTTTAATTTGATTTGTGCACACGATATGCTAATATATACAGTCATACATACATGCTGATTCCCAGGATCTATTCACAGTTGCTTCCCTTCAGCTGCCCGCAGCTACTGTACATGACAATGCCATAAAATCAGGCACTGCATGTTCTAGATTTAACACTGGAGCCATCAGGATACCGAGTGTAAAACACAACTAGAAGGACTGATTTTGGAGCACAATCAAACGTATTTAAACAATATACTCTTAAGTGGTACACTTACATCTGCATTTGCATATACCACTTATATCAAACAGACCACACTGGCATGTCTAGATTTAGTTTCTGTTCATCCTTTGCATTTGCCCATTAGATATCACGAGACAAAGATATTAGACAGTAAACACTAAACAGAAAATAGGACTATACAGGATAAAGGACAAGAATACTGTACTCTGTCAATTGTTTCTATTCACAGCAGTGAAAATGCATTACAATCACAACAAACTATTTCATTTTGTTACAGACTGCAGTATGCCTGTGACAGACAGTAGTACAAATGAATTAAAATATATTGATTATAAAGAAAATTAAATGCAAACTATTTAAAACACAATTGATTGGATGTAATGAAACTTTGCAGACACAATTGCAGAGCTGGCAAACCTAAATCCAAAGAAAACCACCCCCCCTCTCTAGAAGTGCAGAGGGCCTGGCTCCTAACCTTGGATTTAAACTTGAAGCTTGACAAACAATGTTTCTCCTGCCATCCAGACAGGTGGCAGCCCCACCGCAGCGCATTCACCAGCATTACCACTCTCCTCATTTAGATTTTACATCAAGTCTGTGTGAGCCCTGGCTTGAAATCAGATTCTTGATGTCTATAAGCAAAGACAGAGGCCAAAGCTTATTTGTTAACACTCGCTATAAAGAAAGAAAGGCATTACATAAAGGAGCACAGTTCGTTTAGATTGCACAATGTTTCCCAGGGACATGTGATACACTGGAGCACTATTTATATGTATGTTTGAACGTAACTGTGGATTACCTAAAACAGTTCTTATCCTCAACGGATTGACACTGCTAACAAGGTACAGAAAAACAGTTTTACAATAGCAGAAAGTAACAACACTGTTCTGTTTGTGGGCACACAAAGGGACTGAAGAGTATAATTTTACTCTCTTAGACCAAATGAAGTCCTAAATTGGAAAAGCAGCTCCATCCAAGGTCGTCTCTGTTGCTTCCAAAAATATCTTGAAACAAACGCAAGAGGGGCACTTTGTTGGGTGTTATCTCGACATATATAGTTTCAATCAAATTCTTCAAGAAGTGTCAGAATAAAAGTCGAACATTTGTTTGACGCTGCCGAGCCCTGGGAAGTGAATCCCTTCAAAGGTTGGAAATAACTTTGAATACAGCATTCAGAATTATGGGTTGTCGGGGTTTTTTTGTTTGTTTGTCACGCTTTAAAAAAAGCCATATATATTTAGGATGGAATTGTAAACACTTTTCAGAAACTTCATAAAACGATTGTATAATTCTTTCCGCTGCACGAGGCAAAGCGTTACAAGGTTGTGTTAATGATCTCAGGAAAATATTTATAGTGCTTTTTCCAGCGTAAGAGTTCTCTCTTCCCCTCTCATTACATTTTATGATCAACCTTCATTTCACTCAATTACATCAACAAGCAGGAAGAACCTTCAGTATCCACAGATTTTAAAGTGATGCATTTCACATGCAAATGTTTGAAGTACAGTGTGGTAAATGCAAAACACGAAAGGAATAGCAAGCAATAACGACCCATGGTGAAGCACAGCTTGCTCCAGCTCTTCACCGAAAGCATTCAGATTGGGCTCTTGTTTTCAGCTGCAGAAGTTATTTTCCTTAAGGAGATTTGAGATGGCGATGTCAGCACCCACGAAATAACAAACGCTCCATGTTCCTTACTAACCTCTGAACGTGAAGCACATCTCCCAGCGTTCCCTGACTCACTCCTGCAGATACCTGAGCACTCTCATCAGCCTACATAGAATGAAAATGAAGCAGAGAAATCCTTTAGGACAAAAGATGCGGTGTAAATGTAAAGCATCAGTGAAACAGGCTGTCTGTGGGTGACTTTCAGTGTTCTGATACAGTTCTGTTTTCTTTAAAATATGCTCTAAAATCATGGCAAGCTTCAAAACATGGAATAAGGGAGGTGGGTACAGCATTTTATAAATACTCCAAAAGAATTCCAAGTTTCTGAATGTTGCAGTCCACAGGATGCTGCCTTGGAGGAACACATCATCGAGATGGTGGTTGAGATGCAAATGCAACATTTCCACACGATGCATAATTTTTAGATATTCAACTTTTAGGGTTCCAAATTAAAAAAAAAAATCACTTTGTGCTGTTGGTAATTTGTCATTAATGGCTCTGGGATTGATGTGCTGACTCCAGAGAAATGCCCAAGCTTTAGCTTATTTGCCAGAAGGTACCATAACAGTGTCAACCAACTAAACTGCATCCTTCATGTTGTACAGACCTTAAAGTTTTGACTGGTATTCCAAAAAACGGGAATCCATTTATAAAATTGCATTCAAATTTTTAATTGCAGAAAACCTGAACTGAGACTTTTTTTCAGTATGAAACAGTTGTAAAATTGATCAGGAAGATATGATGAGATTCAGTCCTCTATTATTTCCCTGAAGTGGTCACTGTTTGTATAAGATGCATACCTTTATTCCTTTCTTGTTGTTTCCTAAGTTGCCAGGCATATTTTCTATTCCACTCCAGGGGAAAGAAGCAGGAATAAGGAGAATGAGGAAGAAGCAGAACAAAGAATTTACCTCTGAAAAGGAGTCAGGTCCCATTTTCCATGCTCCTACCAACTTCATTTTTTCTGGTATTAGCAAAATGTGCGGCATTTGGCTTTCTCCTGTTTCAAAAGTTAACCTAATGAAGCACCTACTGGAATAAAATTGAGAAGCTTAAAAATGAAACGTCATTCTGTAATGATAGAGAGGGCTGAAGCAGAGCAATAACGTCGGCTTTTGTAGAAGCACCTGCAGGAAAAGAACTCCAGCTCCTGGCAGTCAGCAAATGCCGGCGGCGTGTGTCCTGATTTGCAGAAATGTACTTGTCTGAAAATGATGTGGAATGGAGATATGATCAAAAGGTTAAAATACACTTCTTATCCTTCTAACAAATGTAAATAATGTTGTTAAATACAAGGTAATGTGTGATGTGATATATTAAATGTTATAAATACTCCAACACGAGATCGAGCAAGGCAGCCTCTCACAGATGTCTACTAAAAATCAAAGCGTAGTGGATTTTGGTAGTGCTGAGAAGCACTCACACAAACATTTGATTCTTGTTGTAAATTAAATGCTTCTAATGGAACATTGATTTGCTTCGGGCAAAAGTTGTTAATTTTAAGATAATTATGGTTCTTCTTTTTCTCTCTGTCACACAAATCTGCTCCTGGCCCTTTAATTTCCACTTGTTCCATCAGGAGGAAGAGCTAAATCCAGCAGACCTTATTTTGGCAAAACTCCCACTGAAGTCAGTGAGGGTTTTGTGAGTGTATGGACTGCAGGATTTGTCTCACAGTTCCTGCTGATTACTTGGAGTGTGATTGCTCCCTGCCTCAAGTACCACAGCTCCTCACTGAGTCTGACGTTCCCACAGCACATGGCTGACAGCGCTTTCCCTCTGTAAACTGGGAGCATGAAAAGCAGTGTAATGCAATTGTGAAAAATACCCTTTTCACCCAGTGACCTTCAAAGAAACAGACTGCCTTGGGAGTTGAGACTGCCTCTGAACAATCAACAGTACAGAAGCACTTGAGAATTTAAAGAACCTATTTTAAATTCATGCTGAAAATTTAAAGAACTCTTTAAGCAATCTGCAAATGGGTCAAATTACGACGGTTAGAAAACAACTCATCAATTGGGTGATGCCCATAAAGTTGATACCTTATGATAACCTCGTGATTCATGTGGAGTTTCCTCGCTGCAACACTGTTGTGTCCCTGCAAATTTGAATTGTTTCCATTGCAGGTTACGATAGAGAAAGGCAGCCAAAGAGTTAACAGCATCCCATCAGCAGAAACCCACTGCTACGAAAGGTAACGTAGAGCAAATGTTGAGAATGAGCTCTTTGTCTTTTTCACTTACATCTGAGCAAATGCAGCACCAATGAGAGAAAGCAGACCTGCGTGCATCCATGCGGTCCTCATCCCTGAGCAAGGTGATGGAGTGAGTTTCCCACACTGCGCTGTCAGCGTGTTACGGCCTTTCTCCCAAGGTGACACCTTTTGGATAACAGCACTCAGTCTCTGCTGTCTTCCAGTCATGTTTGCCTGCCTTCTTGTGGAAGCTGACTCCAGGCTCACCAGACGCTGCCAGAGTGGTGATTTAGGAATTCAGAGCGCTCCTGCCAAATGGCTCTGCTTCCATCTCTTGCTGAGGACAGCGGCCAGGTAGCTCACGGTGAACTTGGAGTCACTGTTGATCTGGGCCAGACATGAAATAGTGATGTAAAGAGAAAAAGCTCTCCGCTTCCAGCTCCTGAACCAGCAAGTCATTTTGGAGAACTGTTCGTGTTGCTTGTTGGCTACTTCATTCATTCTTATTGATCAGGAAATGCCCATCGTAAGCACGTTGTCTAAGCTCTGAACTGCTGTTAAACACTCTTGCTGTATTGTATTTTGTAACAGAGATCAATATCATGCCCGTAAAATAGCCTTATCAAGAAAGCTCTGGAAAGCTGTATATTTAAACACAGTAAAATACAATAGTAGGACTTCCATGTTTGTGGGCAACTATACTACAGAAGTCATAATACCTGTGTGTGAGTAAAGGTGTACAAATAAGTATTCCCAGATCTGGGTCACTTAAAGTATAGGAACACTTTCTGTAGTTCATATGGAAGCTACATGGTAGTATAAATAATCCCATATTCAGATGATAAAATGGCTCTTTATGTAACACAGTAGACATACTGTTCTCTCGTGCCCATTTCTGATGTCTATAACTATTTCATCTCCTAGGCCCATGGGGAGCTTTCCCGTGGCTCCAGGGACAGTTGGTGTTAATAGGAGTAAATAATGCAAAGCTGCACAATGCCACTGGAAAACCTTCTCATCCAGTTCTGGATAAAGATGAGGAGAACCCTTCTGAAGCAAAGTCATCAGTCGCTGGTGAGGGACTGCTCCGATCAGCGTTCCAACGGGAGGAAATTTGGTAAGTGCAGAGAGCCCACATTTAGCTATGCCCATTTTCTTTATTTGGGCCTTTGCCAAGAGAAGGCAGCTATTTTTCCATATAGTATGTTTAATCTTATTGACTAGCTAGCTTACAGTAATAAAGTTATATTACATAAATATATATATTAGGAATAAGCTTTTCCTTACAATTGAGGAAGTAAAACTGCAAAACTCAGTCAAAGACTTTTGAATGCTCCCTTCAACTCACAAACCACGCGGAAAAGCCGGTGAGCAGAAACCATTAAGGGGCATTTATTAAATGTCCACTTATAGAAAAGTTAAAAATAGCATTTGAGTTTTTCCAATTTTCTTTTCATAACAGCCATTATGATTTTCTGCTTCATCTCAGAAAGTCATTTTGCTGCTGCTGTAGTGTATAATCTCTGTGCCCTTTCTCGGTGCTGTACAAATGACAGAGCTAATCAGATCAGAGCAACAATCACGTCATCACTGAGTAACCAGCAATAAACTGTTTTTACAAGGAAGAAAGATGAACTATTTTTAGGGTAACTGAACAGAAGAAGGGAAAATGGTTACACTCAGTCTTACTCGACATCATTGCTATGAATTTCAAAAGCATTGCTTTTCCCTGGGCAGCAGACTAATGGCTGCAATAAATCTTTGTATAAATGGTCTGGTCAAAAAGGGTTTTTAGGGATTTGTTACAAAATGTTGAAGTATATGAGATGCCCCTTCTCCCTGTGCTGGTGCCTTTGTCCTCCAGCTCTGATCACTACGTAACCTAAATGCCCAGGGAAAAGGCTGCTGGTGGCAACGCAGCCCCTTCTCCACACTTCACTGCCAGTGTCCCACACAACATCCTTCCCTCCCTCCATGCTCACTGATAGCGTGCGTAGTGGAGAATGTGCTGCTTCTCCTCGTCCTGGGAAAGATCAGCGTGCAGCTGTTGAGAAAAACTATCTTCAGCTATTCAGCAGTGTGGGAGGGCTTGCATGAGGATGTCCTGAGTATCTCTGGACACGCTCCTTAGGCGTACAGTGGGTTCAGAACCTTTTGGGGGCATCTGGAATAAATGTAATTCAATGACCCTAAGCTTTTCAAACCATTCTCCTGTGGCCCAGCCAGAAACCTGTCAGTAAGAATTTACTTTTATTACTTCTTAAACCTATGAAATATAGAAAATAACATTCAGTCAAAATGTAGCCATTGGATTTTATTCAAGCTTTGTTAGCAAATATACTTAATGTAAAGACAAACTAGGAATTATACAGTTACCAAACCCTCCTTTGACAGAGAAAATAGCAGATCTCTTAATTAGGTGTCAGAGAAGGCTAAATCATTTCTTGTGTCCAAATTACATCTGATTAAAAAAAAAAAAAAAAAAAACTACTAGTGAAAAAAAAACATTTTTATTTAGGCAGGAAAAATAAAAAAAAATTCAATAAGCCAAGAGGCTCCAGAAGAACAGCAGCAGCTCTCGTCACCCAGACTTATCTCTCTGCTTCTGGTCTTTTGATTGTGACAAAGAGGCGCTCATCAGAAATGATGAAGCGTGAGGGAGAGTTTCAAGCCTCATCTGCATTCCTCTTACCCTGGGTTAGCTGTGGGTGTCGTGATGCAATTTTCAGGGCCATGACAGTTGCCTGTGGCCCACAGGTCAAAGCCTGAATATAAAGGAGCCGTGCATATCTGCTCTGCATACCCTACCATACGCAGGAAACACTGTGCCTTATTTACATTCACCAGTAGCCCTCCATCCCTGCTCTACGTCGCTTTTTGGCTGGCACAACCACTTTGGAACCATACTGCACAGGCAGAACAGCAATGTATCTCCAGTAGAGAAAGGTTTTAGTGGACCACAGTTAACACTTTCCCATGGACAGCTAAGAAAAATTAGAAAGAAGTATATGTTTCTATATGCAAGAAATACACAGTTGTTAAAACAACAAGAGATAATGGAACGATCTCAGAATCCAAGTAATTGTTCTCAGAACCTAGTCCTGACGCTAGTGCAATGAACTGTCTCCTGGAAGCACAATCACTTTAATTGAACCATGCAAAGAAAGTATGAGTAGGAGTGTGCAAGCAAGCTCTGTGCAGCTCAGAGTGAAAATGGCTCCATTCTTGCCAGTCACACTACATGAATAAAGACAATGGGGAAGGAGACGGCCGAGCCAGGAGGTCTACAATTATACAATATCAAGTACCAGACCTTGCAAAAATATAACCATAGTGATACAGAATAAGGAGCAGAGCAATTACATAAGTTTTCTGTGACCCTGGAAAAGGATTTGTTTTCCTTTGATCTCTCTGCAGATGCATGCCATTCCCAGCCTTCTAAAACAAAGATTTATGATGAGGTTCACCCCAGCACAGATCTCATAACAGATCTTCCTGACTATGTTTTGTTGTCACTTAAACAATGGACAAACAACTTCAAGTTTAGGTGCACTTTATCCATCAGAAACAGATAATGTACATCAAATTTAAATAGAAATGATGAAAGCAACAAAGAGATTACCTTTGAGAAGCCAACCCACAGTCTTCTTACTTGATGTCGGTATAAAGAAGGAAGAGTTCATAGTACAAGCCTATCTTTACCTGCTTCCTGGATGACTTGACCAATAGCTGTTTGATTTTGTTGTTTCACAAAACACTCTTTCTTACATTCCATTAACTGCTCAAAATCCTGCCACATTTTAATTTGCTTCATATTGGGCCCATGACTTTCCCGTACAACCTTCTGCTTCTCTCGTAATTTCTGTTAAAAAACAAAAAATATTCGATTGCTGAAACAGGTTATGTCCAAAAATTGCTTACACAGGCAATGGAATGACAAAAGAATGGTAAGGATTTTTACGAGCTATTGAAATATAATTATTACATTTTGTTCAAGTTAGTAACACTCCTTGCAAGTGATAAATGAATCGGCAGTGGGGATTTAGGCGTCTGCTTTGTATGGACAAACAACTGCTCCAGAGTTTTAAAACCGTCTCGTATATTTGAGAAGTTATGCTAGAATCTGAGTTTATTTCCATACTGAGCTCTTCCAGTCTCAAGTAGCAGCCTGCAATGCGTTCATATGATCATCTTATAAACACCACATTAATGTTTTACAATGAAACTCGCTATTGATCATAATAGCAACAGCTCAGACCTGTAAAAATCACTCACACTCACTCATAAAAAGGAAACCAATAAAAGAAAGACGTTAAGTGTGAATGGTACATCCGACCCCTTCTGTGCTGATCTGAGCTTTGTGCAAGATTAAGAAGTGGACAACTGCTTTTGTTTAGCACTGGTACAACGATGATCCCTTGGCCTTTAATAACAGCGATAAGGCTGACAGGCCCAAAATTTATTGTCATCAACAGGTTGCTTTATATACAACATCAAATTTGAGCTGGCACAGTTTGTCATGTCCATGTTTCAGTTTCTTATCCAAATGGTTTACTGGGAATGTGCTGTCACGTTGAGCTGGTTGACTATCTTTTACAAGCGGCTCATGCTATACTCTGCAGGAAATCAAGCCCCGAAGAGCTAGCATGATCTCTTCTCAGGGTATTAATTACCATTGCCAGCAGTAATGGAATTTTCTTTGTAGGCTGCAATAGGCTTTTTATAAAGGACTGACCACAGCCTTTGATAGTAAGCTCCACAAAAATATGAATGCTGCAATTTTTTCATTTTTTCATCTTTTTTAAAGGTAAAAACCTCATTCTTACCTTCCCAAGGCTTTCTTGTTCAAGGATCATTCGCGTATACTGTTCTCTAAAGGAAATATATAACAATTTTATCATGAATTCTGTCGGTTTCTTTATAGTATGTCAGAATAATGATTAAAGCAAAAAAAACTCTGAACGTATCAGGAGGCTCATAAATGAGGTAAGTCAGAAGAGGAAACCCAAAGAAACATTTCTGTCGTTAGACAACACATCCCACGACACCAGGGATCAGATCACTCTGATTCTCTCAGGCGTGCAGTTGGCAGAGGCAATACTGGATAAGATCTCTTGCATTTCTGAAGCAGGCGTAATTATTGCTGCATCAAAGTTGAAGGCAACAGCAAGAAGTTTTAGATGCTCGTATTCTGAACTTCGCCAGGAGCCTACTTTCTACAAGCATCAAAGTTTACAAATACACAGCCCTTAAACGCTGCAAATGTAGCGTTAGAATGAGTGGGAAAATACAGGAATGAGAAAGAATAGTACTTCAAATCCAGTCTGCAAAGGAACCGCCGTGCGTCCCTCGCTTTCAGAAAGCAGCCGTCACATTTGGGTGCCTAAATATAGGTGTAGGAGCGTTAACTGTTGACATTCATTATAAAAAATCTTGGCTGTACACCTTTGTCTGCAACAGTGGCCGGATCGCTTTCTGACACAGGCAAACTCAATACTTGAAACCTGACAATATAAAATTACAAAGCACAGTTCGGACGCATTAAAACTTATTTCTAAAATGGACAAAATCTCTTTCTTCACCAATTTACTTGAAAAAAAGTAAATGCTCATATTTTGAGTGTAATGGTACAGTCAGAAGTTCAGAGCTTGCTTATGGAATATAAAATAACTCAGTTCATATCAGGAACTTTTCAAATCGCTCAGAACAGAAGAACTTTGCATAGAGAAATTTTAACTTCCAAAAAGAAATATCAGCCTTCCTAAAATCAGAGCGTGAAGTTTGCTGGAGCGCAGTGAGGGGCAGCACAGAACCAACGCTGCTTATATTCCTTCCATTTCCATGAGGCCCTCCACAATTCTGACCAGAGCACTTGGGCTCCAGGCCACCTGGTCCTGCCTGCCATGCTCCCCACAGAATGGATGTGCAAGGAATGCAGCTGGATCATTTTATGATCTGTCACTCTTGGACAATTCCAGCCAGAACAAATCAGAGCAGTCTTGAGTGCTCCAAGCGCTGCGCAGACACAGCTGATCCCCAGCAATCCTCAACAAACTGGAGAGACAGAACAACACCGACTCTTATTTCCACTGGCACACAGCATATGTTCACACACATTTGGCCTTAAAAATATTTTTTCGTATAATAGAATTTTCAAAGCAATAACATTAGATGTCTTTTGTAATAAGCCTTTCTTTACTATTTATAATGATGACTGGAAAGAATGCAACTTGATAACTTCATTTAAAAAAAAATATTCTATTTTTAGAGAAGAAAATTAACTTTTCACATTCCTAAGATCTGACTCCACGGAACAGGGAGTTTATGTTCAAAAAAAAGAGGGTTGGAATTAAGACATTTTTTGTTCAATACGTTGTTAGGAAAGTGCTGCTCTATTTATGGTTCATTTTCACTCCGTTTACATTCCAGCGCCTGCTGAAAAATACATTCACGTTCTAAAATGATGTCTAAAAACATGTTTGGTTTTTTTTAATCTTTTTTTTTTTTGTGAAGATCCCTATACTGAGCTTTGTCGCAATTCATTTAAATGCAGCTGGTCTGCAACCTCTCACACAAGGTCAGAAATGTGTATTGTCACTGTGAGAGGGAGAATTTCTCTAGCTTCTGTGCCCACCATTAGCAAGCAAAGCAGGGACAGCAGAGAGAGTGGTAATGCTCGCTCACATTCTCCTCACCATACCTGGAATGACATAGCTGGACTCACCCTAAATTCCAGCACTTGCATTCAGTGGCTGTGTGTGAACACGAGCAGTGTGGATGTTCTTGTCACAAGTGTTTGAGCTGCAGCGTTTTTTGCTGAACATTTGTGAATAAACCGAGATCCTCCCCTTCCTCGCAGAGCCATAAAAGGACAGTGCCTGCTGTCTGACCCCTGTTTCCTCTCAGCTGCTTGCCCTGCTGCCTTTCATACTAATGAATATTCGCATCATCACTGAGCTTTCTCCTCACAACTACTTCTCTTTTGACACTTCTACTTGTTCCACTGTTGCCCGTTTTTGTTAGAGAAATCTTTTTCAGTCCACTTCCCAATGAAGAAATTGCCTCAGGTGATGCTGGATGATATCTGCCTATTTGGATGGGGCTCTGGGCAGCCTGACCTGGTGGGAGGTGTCCCCAGTAGAGGGGTTGGAACAAAACAACCCAAACAATCTTGGGATGCTATGCTGATTACCCACTTCGGATTGCTTCCCTAGTTGCCACCACTGCAACAGAACTGACCAGAAATTATTCTGAAAGGCAGAGGCTTAACAGGACAACTTGGGAAATAAACTTCTTCTACAATCTCCTTTGAGAAATGATAGAGAGCTTTAGGCTTTCTTCTTGTGACATCTACTTAACAAATAGTCTGAAGCATTATAACGAAATGCAGAATTATTAGTCTAAGTTTTGTCTTTGCTGTGCTGTTCAGTCATGTTTTTGATCTGTTTTCTGAATGGAACAGTTTTGTGAGACATTTTGGCACGTTGTACCAAACAATATACATGAACCACAGTTCTAACGTGACAGCTTACACAGATCTCAAGTAACAACCTGTCATGTCTCTGAAATACAAAGGCAGAAATGTAAGAAAAGGCCTCACAAAGATCAATACTGCTATGGATTTTGAAGTCCTTGCAATAGAGTCAACCGCAGGAATGCTCACTGATGCAGGGGGTGAAACAGAGAGGTACAGGGCAGAGCTGATTCCCCCTCTGCAATGAACTAAAAATGGGATTCTCTAGAGACTCCTACATACAGTACTACCAGACAAAGACAAAGGGTCTTGAAAAATCTCTCACTTTGATGCAACTGTCCTGTCAATTAAATGAAGAATAAAGATGAAAATTACTGTTGTGGCACAGAAACCACAAAAAGGAGCAAAACAAAACCAGTTAGGGTGTGTATATTCAGTCCTCCATTTCTGGAGGAGTGATGGTAACAGCTACTGCACCTGAAAGAACAGCAGATCGGCAAGGAGTTGCCAGAATCTGATGGCAGTGCGTGGTTGCTCTCTTCAAGAGGTGGAATATCTTCCACAAGCTGGAATCTCGGGGCAAACCTGGCAGAGGCATTATGGTAGAGCCATGCTTCCCGTGGGACCTAGCTGAAGCATGGCTTCTCTGACCTTGTGCCAACAGGAGCTGCAAGTTAAAGCCACTATCTGGGGCCTATAATCTCCAGCAGGAGGGGAAAATCTTCTGGTATGTCTGAGAGAACTCATAGGTTTACAGCAGCATATACTGGAATTCAAGATGCTTATTTTTAGATTATTATAGTGTTTCTAAATATATCAGGTGAACTCCTCCAGTTCAAATGCCAGTGAGAAAATTCCTAACTTCAATCTCAGATTCTGAATATCCTTCAGCTTAACACAAAAGGAACACACTAACGTGGTTACCGAATTGCCTTCCGTCTCTCCTGTGGATCTGGGGAGACATATATCTTCATTTCTTCTTTCACACGTTGCAGCTGTATTTCTAGATTCTATAACGAAAGATAACAAATGTTTTAAGAAATACATAATTCCTATTTCATTTCGCAGAATAATTTAGTCCCTCCTGTGACCTTACTTTCTTCATGCAGTTCACATAGTGGTAGTTGCTTTCTTCCTGAGTGCTCTCCTCGAGAAGTCCCTTCACTTCCTGTAGTACAAGAATCAGATTTCAGTGGATGTTCTTACTGAAATCCATTCATGTTGCCATATAAACCATAAGAGTCCATAACACAAAAAAGCATAACTCTGAATTGTTCATTGCTTATGTGTTTTTAGAATTTTGGCTACTGAAGAACAGTCCTTCTGGAAGGTCTACTTCAAATAGGTTTGTCTGTGGAGTTCTTTATTTCACTTGGATTAAGCCGTACAGAGGTACATTCAGTGCAGAGAAAGAGTACCTATGCATCCACCTACACTTTGAGTGTACGCTGTTTTTAGTTTGAAATAAATTCCTTATGCTGGCAAGCCCTTGAAAAACCAAATCCAGACAAAGTTCATAGAAGACAATCCACAGATTCATATTTTATATGTATTAATGCTGTTCCCACATCCGAATATTGAACTGGTTTAAGTACCTCCCTTCCCAAAAGTGCTGCAGTTCAAGCAATATGTCAGCTACATACAGGCAAGCTCCTAGATATATCTACATTGCTGTAATTACTTCTTTAAAAAAAGGTTTTATTTTTGTCCATAATTTTCAGGAATGTACGATGAGTCACATCTAATGAAAAATCCTTGCCATCAGTTTAGTGCACTAATTAGCCATTGGATTGGTTTTGCTAAATTAAAGAGTATGCTAAATGCACATGGAGATTTGTCTTGATAAATTAATCCTTAACATTTTATTGTGAAATTCTTTTCTAACAAATACTCGGGTCAGCAGGGTTTCTGGCAGGTGCCTCCTCTTTTACTCCTGCTACTCAGTGCTGGACTTGAGCAGACGGTCTGATGGAGCACTGAGTTCATTGCTGCTGTTCAGAACAGGAAGCGCGTGGGACCGCAGTCAGTCCACAGCAGCTTCTGGCATGGTTTGCATAGCTGCGGATCACCACTGACTCACTGCCACCTGAAGTGAACCTAGAGCTGCCATATCCAGAGGGAAGGCAGGGAAAGTACTGAACCGTAAAGAGTAACACGTCGCACAGCGCTTAGTAACCTTGTGACCAAGCCACCATCTTACCTGTTCCAGTGCGGAGCGATTGCTCTCTAACCCTGCTGCACAACTGTCGTACTGGATCTTTTTTTCATCACATTCTTGCGTTAATTCCTTATAGGAGAAGGGCAGAAGGGTACATAAATGAAATCTTCAGTTGACTGACATGTGACATTCAAGCAGGCTCTTGGTCTCACACATCAACCTCAGCTACTGGCACGCTCCCTGACACTTATGTAAACCCAGCAGGCACGTGGGTACTGTTACACACACACAGTAAGGCTGCATAGTGGTGACCAGGCTGCGTACATCACAACATAGCATGCAGATTTCCTCTTTACAGCCACAGCCTTAACATGGCGGATCATTAGGGCAGCGCTTGCAAGAAAAATGAAAAATAATTACAAAGATGGAGATTAAGAAGGGATTAATATGCTTGCTACCTACGAAAAAACAGCTTTGCTTTTTTAGTTGTATGCAACAAATGGCTGAGCTGGATTTCACTCGCTGACACTTTAAATAGAACCATTAAAAATAAGTTTTCTGGAAATTTAGTTGATAGATAAAGGAGTAGCTCAATTTACTTCTGTGTCCGTGAGCCAACTTACAGCAGCTGTGGACCTGAATGACTTCTTCAGCTGTCTGTAAAATTTTGAAAACAGATGGATAAATCTGTCATTCCAACAGACTAATATAGGACTTAGATCAATGTGCACAGCCATTGGGATGAAATTTATTTCTGATCTATTTTAAAAAAGAGTTACTTGCGATCACTAGAGCTGAGAAGCACAAAAAGCTTCGAAACTAATTTGAAAGTTAACTTTGCTGTGATTTTGAACCATGATCTTTATTATTTATTATAGGTCTTTGTTGTTTTGATTTTTAATTACTATAAAGGACAAAATTTCAGTGTGATACAGCTTTTAAAAATTCCAGTCTTTTACTTGTTGCTCATTGAACATCATTCCTGACTTCGTCTGCTATTTCCAGCTTTCCTCCAGAGTTGATTACATCCCTACACAGCACTGCAGAGCTCTGTGAATTACGCTCATTTGTGAATTTGACCTTAATTTTGAAGAACGAGAGGAAAGTTTAATGCATTAAAATAAACCTACTTCAAGACCAAAAAAAAATACAACACAAAACATAGAATGCAATTAGAGTTGATGAGACCGTGGAGATTTGTGGTATTTGAAGCATTTAGGTGTCTGGTAAATGAAAACAAACTTAAACTAACCATATTTTAACGTGCATTTCTGCACTGTCTCAGTTCCTGCCTTGTACACCTCAGCCACAAAGGTACAAATAACTCAGTGGCAATGTGTATGGATATACAAATCTATAGGGACAGTAAGCTCCTGCTCTAACTGTAGCACTTAACTGCATGGAGAAATGTGCAGAGCAAAACATAGGACTGCCCCCCATCGTCTGCCTGCTGCCTACCCTATTTCATCCATAAGCACTGCTCAAAGCCTTCTGAAGTGTTTCTACCAACCTGGCACTTCTGACGCAGCTGTCTCAGCTCCTTGATGACAGGAGCGAGGCTCGACTTCTTCTCTGCCACCATAGCGTTCAGTTTCTTTACCTGAAAGAGGGACTAAATGTTACACACTGATAATGTGCATTAATAGTTTATATTATTAGGATCATGAAAAGAGGTGAAAAGGGATGAAGACAAAAATACGGAGAGGAAAAAAACCAACTGTGTGACAAAAGAAGACTGAAGTATATATAAGTGCAGAACTAATTAACAAAGGGAAAGAGCCCATGTTGCACTGAAATCATTACCACAAACCAGACCACTTCTGTTCCTATTGTTTAACAGAACACCACAGGCAAGAGCAGCAGACCCACATGCCAGATGCCTGAATGGCTTCAGGAGAGGGGAAAAACAAAGGAGCTGCACAGAGCTGGACTGACAGAGGAGATCTTTGAATAAACGAACCAACCAAAAAAATCCCTGCATAGGTGAAATAAAGTTTGAACTTGCTAAAACAGAATCGCTTCAAAATATTTATACTGAAAACTCACATTCTGCCCAGCTTTCCGTTTGAGATTCATTCTGTTTTGATTCTACCACTTTATTTTTAAAGTGCCCTAATGATTTTAAAGAATGCTATTTGGCTTTTGGCTCCTTTATAATATTTTGCTTCTATGGCTACGCGGTGAATTAAAATACTACAGATCTGAGGACAACTGAAAATGAGGCTAAAGAGAAGAAATAATGTTTAGTTCTTCAGACAAATGAAATATCTTTAAATGAATACTTAACTCCAGTGATTTACATGCATTTTAGAAAATGATGCTGTAAAAGAGTCAAATATCTAGTCAAATAACAGACAAAATTAGTCAAAATAGACAACAGACAAAACTTGTTATCTATACTGTTTGAAAGTACCTATTTTTCTATATAAACCTATATTAAAAGTGAAAAACCCAACCAAAATATTCAACTTGGTTCTCTGAGGAAGCAGATATTGAATCTGAGGCAATAAAACAGCTAGAGACAAACATCACCATTTCAGACATGTTGTCTAATGTTTGGCCTTTCATTCCATCCACTTCGCTCTTCACTGCAGATACTCTTTCCAGCTCCTCCTGAGTGCAACTATATCCAGAAATACCTTTCTTGTCTTCAATAGCTTGCTGCAGACACAAAATAAATGCTGAATGTGAGTCCATTAATTGCACAAATTACTTCATAAAGATGAAATACTGTAAGAAAGTGGGAAGTACTGTAATCCATTTATTTTAAAAGCGATTAGTAACGTAGCTGCCACAACAAACTTTTCCTCTTGTGCCTGCACAGCAAGCTAGCAACAACTTCCTGTCATACATCACTGTTCTGCCATCTCACACCCAATGAAATTAACAGGAGGTTTCCACGATGTGAAATGGGCTTTAGGTCAGGCTGTGAAGGAGCTCAATATGTGAAATCCAAATGCTTAATCAAAAGATGCAAAGTAGCTGATTTTTTATAAACAACTGTCAAGCTAAAGAAATACTGTATTAATTATAGCAACGTTAGTGCCAGATTACAACATTCTTGCATTAAATTACATAAAATTTACATTAAGTGCTGATGTGATAGTCCTTAGCAATGCTTGCTCATTAAGTATGGAAGGAGGGTATTTTTTCAGTAAACTGGAAGCTAGGTGCTGATCTGCAATTTGCAAAACACTCATTCTTTAAAGTATCATCTGTCCATGAACACCAAAGTCAGTTATCCTCAAAAATCTTCTACAAGCATAAGTTTAGGAAAACATTTGTGTCTGCAAGGAGCTGCTGCTACTATGATGAGAGCATTCTGCAGATGTTTGCAGCAGCATACAGTCTGACAGGCTGTAATGCCCAGGGCTAAAAGGGGTACTTTTGATATCAGGTGGAAAACCTAACATGAGAATGCAGCCCTGCTCTAACTGGAGTTAGTGAAGCTCTAACACTGACTTTGGAAAGTAGGGTTGTGTCCCTCATTCTGAAAAGAAATTGCAGAACATTCATGACTCCCTGTAAAAAACAGTTGCTGAACATGAAGCAGCTTAGCATATCATACAGATTTGGTTCCCTAACGACTCTTTTACTAATGACACTAGGATGGTATACATTAGAAAATAACCAAACAGCATCCACCTTATTATAGAGCAAGTTGGAAAGGAAGGAAGAGTGGTGGACTGTAGGAGTAGTAAGCGCCTGCATTACCAGCTGCTGCTGGATGGCCTCGTGCCGCTGCTTCAGGAGCTCTTCTGTCCGCTGGAGGATGCCACACTCAGCTGTAATTTCTGCTACTTCCAGTCGCTTCCTTTTATATACTGTGTTCTTGCTCCGGAGCTTATTGACATAGTGTTTAAGCTGCAATGAGAGAGAACAGAACTATGTGCCGTTCAACTTCAAGAGAAAAAGGGCAGGGTTCCATCACAGACTGATCCTCTATAAAATAGAATTATCCTATTTGGATTGCATGCTGAAGGTTAAGAACAGAGGACTGGAATCAAGGATTCCCAGAGTCTATTTACTTTCAGCAGCGTTTGTTTGCTGTGTGAGATAAGGAATCCATCTCCATTGCTTTATCCCAGCTCAACCATTTGATATAGAAAGACCCTTCAGTTCTACTCACCACTGTTTGACAGCTGGAAAACTAATTACTGAACTAATGTTCTGAGAATCACGGATAATAAAGTTAATGTGATAAGAATTTGCATGTTTAGCAGAGCAGCAGATCAGCAGTGCCTAACCCCAAACAGCACAGCACACCAAAAACATGGTAAGAAAGCAGAAGGGAACATGACATGGAAAAAGATGATCCTGCTTTTTAACTGCTAGTCCTCAATAGCTGAAATTTGATGTTCTCTTTCCTTGACTCCTTCAGGACTAAATGATATCGCTGAAGTTTCAAAAGCAGGAAAATAAGAGCCCTTGCATAGAAGCAGAGAAATGCGGTATGTTGCACCCAAATCTGGAGGAATTGGGGAATTTATAGTTTATAAATAAAGACTATTTTATAACGAATAACTAATGTATAGCTTCATAAATAAAGACTAAGCAAAATAATTCACATCCTTACAGCTAAATTACACCGGAATGCATGCGTGCTCCATTTGCAAGATGAAAAATCAGGTGCCGAAACAAACATGTCATGTTTTTCTTTGTCTGAATGTTTTCCATCTGTCGAACAGGCAGAGCTCCTGGAGCTGCCAGTCACAGCTCTGAAATGCACTCAGATCCAACGATGGAAAACAAAATTTATTAGAGTAGATGCAGCATGAACAGGCTTCAGAGTGTTCCTCACAGGAGCATTCAGCATGTGCAGAGCAAACAGATGACAGGATCAGGAAGCAATGGGAGCCCCACCACCTCACCTTTAAAGCTCAAACATAACAGAACTTAGATTTTAAGATAATTTTTTTTTCTTTTTGCAAAATGATGCCACTTTCCCTTCTAAAGAAGGGATCCAAAAAACCAGTGCGACCACAGCCTAAGAACCCCCAGAGTAACTGTATGTTCTATAAAAAGTCGCCTGGGCAAAGTGCCCAAAATGAAATCAACCCTGTTCATCTGCCATCCTGTGCAATATCTAGGCCAAAGCTGCTTCTCTCTTGCTATGCTCCACAACTATTTTTAAAGCCAAAAGCTATAAACGTTTTTGGTGAAAGAACAAACCCACAAATTACTCAATGTGCTCTATGCAGATCGGACTATGTGTGGTTTAGAATACCATCTTACATTGTGTGTGCTACCTAGGACAAGGATAGACAAGGTCACCTAATCCACAGCACAGGGCAGCAGAGGCAGCCCTCTTACAGTCGGACTGTCATTGTTATATTATTGGCACACTTAGTGTAATATTACCAGAATGAATTGTTTGTCATAGCAAATTCACATATACCCACCTAGCTAACAGAAAAGACTCATTTCCTTTTGGTATTGCTTAGATAACACCAAGTTTTCTGTGATTTTCAAGACATCACGGAGTATAAATAGCATCTCCCCAATCATTTAAGAGACGCAGTGCTCTGTCTGGATGGAGTAGATCCAGAGAGGTTTCATCTGATCAGTGGAATACAGTGCAGTGCATTTGTAAAGGGTGAAATGTATTGTGTGTGACTACACACACCAATCAAATCTGAACTAGCTTCTGTCAGTTTACCCCAGGATGAAAAGCAAACTACGATTCTCTTCACTTCTAAAACTACTTTTAAGGTCTTGAAAATAGCTTGAGTGGGAGGTAGAGTATTTGCATATTCAATATTCAAAGCATAATGTATTTTACAATGGAAGTCAAAGGATTTGGTTGATTAAAACCTCATTCCACCGATGTCCTGTTATTAGGGAAGACTGCATTATAAAAATCTCATCCAAAGCAAACAAGCTGCTCACATTGTCCAGTGAAATCTATTCCCTTCAGGAGATAGATGTCTATCTTTCATCACAATCTCTGACTTTCTAAAAGCTAACAAGTTTTCATGATTTTTTTTTGCCATAAATGAGGTGGAATGGTATAAACAGCAGCAGCAAAATGACCGTATCTGTAGAAATCAATCAACAGTTTGGCACTAGTTTCAAAAGAATTCACCTTCTCCAAACGCAGCACAGATCAGCCCCTGAAAATCTCACTAACTGAAGCCTTCCTTAGATGCAGAGCCAAATTCAGAGCTGGAGCTGTTAGGCTTAACTCCAGTTAAATCAGCAGCTGGTCGGGATCTTCTGGCACAACTAGGTTTCTCCACTCTAAAAGTTGAGAATCATGCTGTAGATTTCCGAAAACTATAAATAAACCTCTTGCAAAAATCCCAGTGCCTTCAATTCTGTAAGCACGGCTTCTGAAGCTTGGTGCATCTCATGCTCCCATCTATATGTAGATGAATAAAAATCAACCTCTTTAAAATGCTATGTAAGTTTGGATTTTACTTCTGCAAAAGGTATTTTAAACACTACAAAGAACTGAAGGAAGAAAAACTGTCTAGCCTCATCAGTTTAAAGTTAACTGCCCAAAAGGAATCCATTTTTGACCAACAGCATTTTCCCATAGCCAAGGCCAGCTGCTCCCTACACACAAACAGCAGGCTCAACCTACAGGGTTCCCATGGATCCGTCAGCGCTCACAGCACTGCACCATTCAAGGCTATGTCCACCAGCAAGCTTTCCTTTCTCAAGCACTCTAACACAAATAGTTATTTAAGCTTCGAAGATTAAATGACTGGACAAGAACCAAATGCTGGCACTGACTTAGCAGTTAAAGTAAACAAGCCTGTAGGCTCATTTGCTTGCTGAGCCAGAGCCCCCTGAGATATAAAAGTGATCCAAATGAAAGCAAAGAAAGTTTATGCTTTTCCACTGAGCTATTTTTATGGGAGACTGTAACATAAAAAGCATGGAATCTAGACCATGAAGCAGAGTGAATGAAAGCAGGACTTCAATATCTCTTATAAGGTCCCAAAGCATGCAGGTAGCTCACATCCGTGGGCAGGTTTCTTGTACTATGTTCCATTTACACTGAAAAACCCACCAGTGTTGGCACATCACTCTTCTTCAGAGCCATCCCAAGGCTGACTGCTCACCCCCTTCCCAGGGAAGGAACACGAGCACACCGACCCCGTGCTTCAGTGCATTGCTGGACTGGGATCAAAGCCCAGCTCCTCTCATGCTTACTCCTAAGAACTCCCTTTAGTCTCCTGAAAACCAAATTTCTCCCCCTGTGAAATTTTGACAAGGTTCTTAGTGTAAGATTATCATTGAAGGAGAAAATGGATAAGCTTTTCTACCAAGAAGAACAAATCCCAGCTTAATCGCTTACTTCTGTGTCAACATTATAAAATGCTGTTTTGTGGATTACCGTATCAATTCCATTGTATTAATCAAAATACTTTTCCACAAGAAATTACTACAGAAAATAAAGCATTAGTTGGAAAAAAAAGTTTTCTTTCTGAAATACAGAATCTAAAGGTTTCAAAGTTTCGTTGATGAAATTATTTGCATAACCACAGTAACTGCAGAAAATCTTTGCTGACTGTTTCTGTTTCTGCTAAGAATTTAGTTTAGGAGCAGATGTTTTAGGTTTTTTTACTAGACCAATTAATGGGATACAGACTGTCCAAAGCATTAACGTTCAGTTCAGAAAAGTTCCTGATCATGACATGTTTTCAATGAAACTCTTTTTAAGAGGCTTTAAAACTGAGCTGGTACCACCACTGTTGGATGTGGTTAATAACTCACATAGAAGAGGGGAAAGCTTCTCACAGACCCAACTGTTATCATCCCAGCCAAATGAAATGAAGGCATCCTACAACCTGCTCGTTAGACAGCCCAGTCAGGAAAATTCTTCATTAGCACTGAGTAGGATTCCTCTCCCAGGAGTGCTTGCTTCTGGTTATTACTATCCATTACTAAGAAGCTGGACCAATCAGAATATTTTTAATGAAAAATCATTTTCAGTTATCACTGAAAATGCGCAGATCAATAAAACTGATGATTTATTCATGCCAGTGGGTGCTGAAAGAGCGTTCAGTTCTGTGGAGCTATATTTTATGTCTGAATCACTGCATAGATTTGGCTTAAATGATGGTGAGCTTCTTACAACAGAAAGCTCCTGGCTTCTGTAAGAATCCTACAGAGTTGCTACTTTTGTTCTCACAACTTCACTGCCATCTACTCTCACAGTTCCACATTTAAGGAGCCTTTGACAGACAGCAGTTTAACCGTACACAGAACCTTAATGAAGAGATCATAAACCTACAGGATAATTTATTCCTGGTCCCGACTCAAACCACGTCACGGCCAAGCAGTGAGTTCCTTAATCACTTCTTTAAAATCTGCCTCTGTAGCTCAGGGCTCGGTAACTGTTTGTTGTAGATGCAGATTGAACCAACCTTTTTAGAGAAAAGGTGACAAGATCCACAGTCCAAGACTTTGCTGTTTCCAAAGTACATCAACCTCCTTTTTTATCATTCTACCGGGGTGCAATTAGGCATGGTAGGCATCAGTATGAGAGCTGAACTCCTTATGTAAACTAACACACACACACTTGCTAAGAAATGGACGAGACCATCTATACCACATTCTCAAAAACATTAACAACTGTAGCTAAGCACAGCTATGACACCATTCTATTCCAAAACCTTGGAGAAGTCTAGGCTCTAGGGCCCTATACTGAACAGCACAGTGCATTGTGTAAAGAGCTAAAAATATCATGACTTTACCTAGGATCACTTGTAATTGAACCATCGAGCCTTCTAAGTGTCAGCATTTGATTCCCTAAGTTTCAGGATCTGACAGCTGCAGTGAGGAGCCTGCCAGCTTTGCCCCACGTCCATTGTGCTTTGTTTGAAGTGCTTAAAAAGATTTCATAATCACTGAAGCAGGCAATTTATTCCTACCTTTTCTGCATTTGATGTAAATGAGTTGGTTATTCCCTGCTGGTTCTCCCACTTTCTGTGTAGCTGCACAACCTCTCAAACCAACTGGAATACTCTAACGTTCTTTTTTTTCTATTATTACAAATAGAAAAGTAGAACACTAGCACCTAAAAACCAGGATCAACCTTTTGGTGAATGGAGTGCTGAGACGACCTCAGCTGAAGATCTGAATATTGGTGTGGGAGTACAAGCTAGGAAGGCACTGATTCTTTGACTATTTGTGTTATGATGTAAGAGGATACAGCCAAGGGTGAGACAAAGATGAGAAATAGTGAGAATATGGGAAAATAATTATTTAACTGCAGCATTTAGGTAAGTTAGATGCGGCAGCATTAAAAACCTGTTTCAAACTCAGGACAGGGAAACTATTTGTTAAAAAAAAAAAAACATGTTTCTTCTTCTTTTGAAAATGGAGGAAAGAAATGCAAGATGTGTGAGACTGCAACAAGAAGGCATAAAAGAAGCTCTCAGTTGTCAAAGAGCGGAATGTGAAGGTTGAATCCACAACCTCTTCCTGTCCTCACTGAACATATGTATTGCAGTAGTGACTCACCATTACATTAATCAAGACTTCCTTTAGCATTGGCTCAAAGCTGGAGTAATAGAGCACAGAACATAGATATAAAGGCATACCATACCAGAAACAAATCTACAGTCTAGGTGAGTGATGAACTGAGACCTACTGATGAAAGATAACCTGCTAGCTTCACTTTTGCTTCATCACCTCTTCCCCAACAACCTATTTCTATTGTATACGTATGAACACACAGATACACAACACACCTAATGAACTAATAAACAGGAACAGAACACTGATTGTATAATGCTGGCTTCCTTCCTTGGGCCAACATACAGAAAGCATTTCACAAAACAGGAAACAGTTCTTACAAAAATGCAAACACTCCTAACTGGAAGCTGATATTTTGCCCAAAGTGCTCCATTGTTTATTCTGCACTCATCAACATGAAGACTTGAAGATATTTTAAAAATCAAACATAGAACAGATTTGAACAAAAGGAATGAAGGTTACGTTCAAAACAGGTAATGTCTTTTTTCTGTCTTCAGCCTCTTCCTTATGGCAGACAATTAACTTGAATTTTTCATTATCAGGCCTCTTAAGTAACTGCTACCCTCCTACCTGGCTCTGCTGAAGTTACTATCGATCAGAGCATGCTGTCCCCACTCAGAACATCTATTATTTCTTACCTTACAGTGTATTTACAGATAATGTAAAGCATATGTTGCTGTCTCTGTAATGCATTCTTGTTGATTAATTAAACATTTCTCTCCCATCACAGAAACACAGATTGTCTGCTTGCTATTTTTATTTTGAAAGCTGTCAAAGATTCCAGCCAAGCGCTCACTGAGGATAAAAATCTGAGGTAGAAAGAAGTCTCATCTAGTGGTCTTGTTATTACTGCTACCAATGGAACACCATGAGTGCCCATGGTACACCATGGTAAGAGAAAGCTGCAGCTTAATTCTTCAAATCGTTACTCAAGACTTGCAGCACGAGTTAATTTCACTGGAATCAAGAGATGCTCCTTGTTCTAAACATAACTCTAGATATAAGTCTGTTATTGCTTCTACCTTTGGTTTTTATCTAGATTTACAGAATGGGAAACAGACAAGAAGGCAAGAGAAACCTGCATGCATTCCATATTGTATAGGAAGAACTTATGCATGAGTGTACGCATACACACATTCCCATACTTCATTTACTCTGTAAGACTCCTTTAAAAGAAAGCTGGTTTTTGTGGAGCAGGCACATCCTATGGGATCAGGAAGGGAGTTCCTTCTACAAAGGGCGTTGACTGTATTGAGCAGTATGTAAAAAAAAAAAAAAAGCACACAAATAGACAAAGAAAAAGAAAGCAAAGAGTGTTACTCTTGATAAACTTATGGCAGTGCAAATTCAGACAGCAACAACTAAAACATCAGTGTGTTATTCACATGATTCTCATCCAAAATCCAAAACACAGCACCTTGCCAGTTTCTAGGAAGAAAATTCACTCAATTCCAGCTGAAACTAGGATACATACTAATTTAGAGTAAGATACAGGCAAATGTCCTAAGGAAGACATTAGCTATAAGCACACTAAGCAGACTTCTTCTAAGCTTCTTCTATTATTCTCTTAATAACAGCCCATTCATTTTGCTGATGAACCATTGTCCAGCTGCCACAGCTTTATTCTTTGCAAGCTTCTGAAGAAGAAAAAGCTTCTTTGGTAAGTACCAGCTTCAAATGAAATTTTGCCTGGGATAAGATGACTGTGAATCAAAGTCTGTTATAGATGAACTGCAGGTGGTCCACAAGAAGTATTTTTTGAAGTAAAACCTTTTGTGGTAATAAATATTGAAGTATTAAGCGTGTTCCTGATAACTGCTGCTCCTATGCTTTATGATCAGATAGACTTATACACTGATTAAAAATAAATTCACTGACATGACTTACCACTTGAAGTCCTAAGCCCCCCCATTAGTCTTGTTGACTTTTATAGTTGGTTGAAGTTATTTATCATCATACCACTGAGATTATATTGACATTATTTTGACTCAAAGCTCTGGAACATTAGAACAGCCTGACAGTAAGTCCTCATAGCTTTGCAACCTACAAGGCTGAATGTGAATAATTTAATGACGTGAATAAATTAATAATTTGAATGTAGATGCAAACCAAGTATTTTTAAAAGTTCTGTTAAATACTGGAAAGCATTTGAAAGCACTGGACAACATTGTACTATCTGCACTTCAAAAACACCTTCAAATACATTGTTGGTCATTTGATTTTAATTTAACATGGGTAGGAAAAGCAGAACTCGGCCTGTTGCAATGCTGAGGCCACGTACTTTGACACCACGTTATAATAATGGATAAGATACTGCAGAAGCAGCTATTACAACGAGAAGGTAAAAGGAAACTCCAAGTTAACAAAAAAAATATCAGTCTTTCTTATACGCACTGTTACGTGACGTACCTCATCCCCCTTCAGAACTTCAGAGCCATCTAACTCATGGGCCTGATTCGTCTTCTGTATCATCTGCTTTTCTGTGCTAGACATCTCTTCTTTAGCAGCCTGAAGTTCTTCTGCCTTGGCTTCCTTCTTCCGGGAAATTATAGATGCCTGAATGAACATCAGAAATATACATGGACATGCAAAGTAAAAATTTATTAATATATTTCATATTATATCCATATTTTTATAATATACTTATATTTTATTGCTTAAACATTTTATTAATGTTTAATCATTAATAAAATAAAAGCATGAAAACTTCAGGTGTGGCACCACTGAAATCACATCTCAACTGTAGGAAACTCATTTTCACTGGGTATTGTGAGCACGTATCTTTGCAAAGAAAAAGACAGATTACACAACTACACAGTTGATTAAACCACAGCTTCTTTAAAGCTGATTGCCAATTCCGAGCTTCCTTCAGTATGGCTGATTTCAGTCATGTCCCTTTGCTCCTCAGATCCTTGCTGATGCATTTTACATATATGTTTCTTCACCTCCTTTTTCATTGTCACTGAAGAACAGGCATGCACTTGGGGGGCTCCATTTAATCTACTTAGTCCCTTTTTGTGCATATATAAGACACATCAACATGGTTTAACTGGAAAGACATCCAAGATTTCACAAATGTCATAATACAGATTTTTATAACTCCAACCTACTCCAGCCTACAGAAATATGTTATACTAAGCAGAACCCAGCCTCTAAATCTTGGCAAATAGCTAAAAGACAATGAACAAAGCAGAAAAGTACAGAAATATTGTAATTATAGACTATTCCGCTATTGTTTTTTTTAGTCTAGAAGAAAAAGCATTTAAAAAATAATGTTTTACCAGGCAGAATATTTACTAGTACCTACATCTATTAAAGTTAAGAGACTAAGAAACATAAGCATACATTAGTTCAGAAAAAGAAAGCATTTTTATCTTGCCAAAGTATATTTTTACATAACACAGGAATGTATATGTATGCACCTGAATTTAGATGTGTTGTTGGTTACTTAATATGAAAGGAAAAACTTCAGTAAAAATAAAGCAAAACAGAATGGGTTTCTCTCACTACGTTTAGAGGAGCAGCGTTATTTTTAAAATCATCCAACAGAATTCAGCTGGGGTCAGCTCAGCTCTTTGCTCCATCAGATATCTGCAGTGATAAACTGTAGTGCCGTATACAAAGAAGAAGAACAAAGCAAAGACCACTGTATGCCTTCAACTCACAGCAGCAGTCTGAACTCCCCAAGCTCCTCCACTGAGCACAGTTATATCACCAGCCAACTGGTCTTGGGTATCAGCCCATTATGTACCAGGCATATTTCACATATTTTATATGTGATTGAACTGCAGCATACATTTTATCACCATTTTTTCCTACCACTGATATATTTTACCTACGCCTTTTTATTTTTTAAGCCATCACCATAAATATCATTATGGAAATCTTGAATAAAATCAGCAGCTATACAGGTCAGCTGGAAAAGAAACCACATATGTTTCTGCGTAAGCTGTAAAAGTCTCTGATTTCAGAAACCCATTTTATAACTTTTGAATTTATGAAGGCTAGACCACACAGCTTATTTTACAGAGGAACTTTTTAATAGCTTCAGGATGAAAAAAATACAGAGAGAAAAATCAAAGAATGCATTCTTAACAGATGTAAAAGGAAAAGTAGCATGTGGTCAAACACAAGCAAGTGCTATGACTGAAAGCAAGCTCTGCATCCAGCACACGTGCTGCCTTGTAAGATTCTGTCCACAGCTGGAGATTTACTAAAATAGCTCTTCCCAAGTGATTCTTCCAGGGTTCCTGTGATGCAGCTGACAGGCAACACCTCAGACAGCAACTGAGGAACTCACTGGCATGACTGGAAGCAATTGTTTGACTAAGCCTTAAGCACGCCATTTGTTTAGGTTTTGTCTCACGTTATCATCTATTTCTACAGATTCTTGCTTTAATAAGTTAAAGAAAAAAAGTCTACATGCAACAGTGACTGAAATTGCTCCACTGATTCTTCTCAAAATGTTTTGTTTTTTCCTACCTGTTGGCGATACATGGAAAGTTTACTATCAACTGGCTCATACTTCATCATTCTTTTCTCAATAAGTTGATTTATTTGTACATTTACTTCATTTATCTGCAAAACAGAGCCGAAAAACAGAGGAAACAGAACTTTATTTCTTTGTCTTCTCCAAGAACTAAATGCTTTACAACCAGACTAACAGCCCAGCTAACGAGGAAATATTGCTAACTCTGTTTTCAAACTAGAGGAAAGAAAAGAACAAAAAACTCAATGAGTTACTCAGTACTGGCCAGGAAGAGGCTGGGTTTTTGATTTCCAGTTCTGTGCCTTAATGATAAGGCAGGAGCGTGACATTTGCCCTGAAAATGAAGTAAAGTGGTATACATGGACAGAAAAAAGAATAAAAGAATCAGTGACTTGGTACATACAGACAGAAAAAGGTTGATGTTGTCATATATATTGAGAAAGGCACACTGTCACATTGTAACAAACATTTATTTTCACTTAGAATTCTAAAGAGCAGCAGATAAAAAGCAGGTGATACCAAGTTTTACCAATGCTTCTAAGAGTCACAGCCATCACACTGCAGCTGTGTGGTACCCTCCTTCTGCTGCCACAAAATGCACCTGGTTGTCCACAGGTTCAGATTGTCAGTCTTCACTCCAGCTGAAACTTTAAAGCCCACTGCATCTGGAAACAAACACCTACACCAGCACACTGATTCCAGCTACCTCTTTTCTGACTTAATGCTACACTGGGACTCTCATCAGCCATGGAAACCACAGCCCTAGCAACCTTCCTTTAATTCTCTGCTAACTAGATGACTGCTGATAAGCAAGCAGTGTAAATATATGCTAAAATCTAATGAAGTCAAAACAAAGTGCAGGTACAGAGCAGGACATTACCCCAACGTTACTCTGAGTAACAGCTGCATACTTAGAAAGCTGAGTATTTCAGACAAAGCTTTGTTCACCATGTCATAAGCACTCTTCTTATATTGGTGTAAACTCCCTTGATATCAGTGAAAGTTTAAAACAAGCTAAAACTAAAGAGAAGAAAAATCAAACCTTTAATGCTGAACTAATATCTTTGCTCACACAACAGCAAATTGCCAACTCAATTTTCTAAATAGCATTTAAGGATACAGCGGGTTTTGTGGTTTTGTTTTTTTCTTTTTTTACTTATCTAAGAGCTTGCATTTAGTGAGTAACACATCTTTTACAACTGAAGAGGTGTTCCTTTGGGAATTAAACCTTGTCTCGAGGATGCAAAGTAGGCACAGGAGAAGTGCAATATGCACAAACTCTAGAGCATGCTATGAAACACGAATTAAGTGCCACTTTGGTCAACTTACCTTGCTTTCAAGTACATTGAGATCTGATTGACCCATAGCTGGCTCTGCAATTGCCTTTTGTAAGAAATACACTGATTTCTTCTTACTTTCAAGCTCCTTAGGTATTTTTTCAGTAGCGAGGTATGAATTGAAGTTTATCTCCTCTTCCAGTTTCTTCATTAAGCCTTAAGAACAAATTAAATCAATGCATGTCCATGAAGAAAGTAATGTAGAGGATAATTAAGTTCAATTTTCTCAACACAATGAAGCGTTCAGTGACAGATTACAATAAAAACAGCACAATGCTTGAATCTTCCTCTCAAAACTCAAATTAACAAGTAGTTACCTGATCTAGCTTTTTAATCTGGATGTTAAACAAAACAAGTTGCATTACACTTGCTACCCACCTGTATCTCCAACACGTATCTGTTAACTCCTCACTGTATTCTTTTAGTCAATAAAACAAGTAAAATCTTTCCACAGATCAAAGTCCAGATGAATCAGATACAAAAACTCAACACACAGCATTGACAAAGAGAACCATTAGCACTGTGCATGTCTTAGGCACATCAAGACACTGCGTCATTGCGTCGTGTTACTATTTTCTGTAGTGAGTTATGTTCTTTTGAAACTGAAAAGTTGATGGCTAGAATTTGGTGTCTTATGCCTGATCAGTGAGGGACAGCACAGCACGTCAGAGCTGTGCTGCCTCGCTCAGGGCTCCTCTGAAGCTTGGATCCCTTAGAACATCCCTGGCTGGAGCATTGGAGAGATTCTACCCCATAGATTTCACAGGTCATAGTTTCATGTGAATTACATCGTCTACAGACAAATTATCTCAGTGTGAATCCTTTGTCTGTGTCTCGAAATAGAACAAAGATCTTAATTTGGCCAGCCTCCTGTAAGGTCTGTTATATCCTTGGAAACTCTCCCTTAAAATAAAACCTCTTTGTTCTAATTTTGTATCTAAAGAAGGCCTTACAATGAGCTGAAATAAATGTATGCATACTGTAAGAGTCTTCTACATTACAAAATGCCTCTCTTTAAGTAACAGATGATTTTTTCTTTTAAGAGCAAATACTCAATCTTGAGCATTCAATTCAGTACACTGTGAACATTGAAAACAAACAGATTTTTTAAAAAAAGAAATTGCTGTGTAATGTCAAAAATTCTATTGAGAAAAGCAATCACCTACCTGATGATTGAGCCTGATTCACACTGCATGATACATGCTTATAATGACTTTGCTTTTGCTAGGTAGAGTAATTTAGCCTCCATTACAAATAATTTATTTATAAACACAGATAAGAACAATACAGAGCTAGAAAAATGTGACAGAATAAAACCAAATTGCTATTTAAATTACATTACACAGCAGTCTGCTGACAACAGATACTTCAGTGCAATTACTCCTCTGAGACACCTGTACCAAGGGCTATGGTAAAATTTGGAAGTTGCACATCAGACTGGAGTGGGAAGAGGTATTTCTGAATTTTTTCATGACCAAAATGACTAAAGGTAAGTACCCTGGGTACTTTTTAAGACGACTCACTGGGGGTGTATTGTTGGTTTGTTGTTGTTCTGGTTCTTTTGTTTGTTTGTTTTTCTTGGTTGTTGGGTTTGTTGTTTTGCCATGAAGTGCAAAGCAAAACAAGAAATTCCAAATCTCTGTCTTTCTCTGCAGAAAGAAAGGAAAGCTTGAGTACAGGGATACAATAACAGAGCTGATCTTGCTGAAACAGAGAGGAAAGGATGCAAGTTGAAAACACAGCTTTAGGCTTTGAGGCTAAAGAGCCTCATCACTGCTGACCACATCACTGACTGATGTAAGGAGAAAGAACAAAGTTAAATACAAGTCTCAGAAAAGGGGGCTCCATTATTCTGCATCTGTTTACCAAGAGGACTAGTCACAGTACTGACAGATCCTCCTCACTCTCTGCTCTCAGCTTGGGTCGAAAGGAAATGTACTTGGTTTGTCTGCCAGAGAAGAAAGGAGCCATACTTAGCTCTTGAGAAAGCCTCAAGAATGAGAATGAATAGACCCTAGGGAAAGCAGTGCTCCTAACAAAATAAAGTCAAACCAAACTAAAAACAAGAAGGAATTCCTCTTTTCCAGCTGTCCACTTCATTGATCTCATTTCATGAAAAACAGTACTACCATAAACTCTTTTTCCCTTTGTGGGAAGGTTATTAATCTTGTGCAAAACAGCTTCAGATTGGTTTCAGAACAGGCAATGCACTTGCTATATGTGTGCAATAGCCATTATGTGCTGGGCACTACAGCTAGACTCAGAAATGCATTGGAACTTACTGGGAGAGAACACCAATCTACCCCCAGGAATACCCACCTCTTTCTTCCAGGAGAACTGACTTTCAGTCTTCCTCAGCCCACTGACGAGCTGTGCAGGAAGGACTACATTTTAATGTCTCACTAGAAATCTACCACCTCTGCAAATGCAGCAAAGCTTCCCACATACACCATGAGCTGAATTATCACCTCAGAACTAGGAACATAACTCCCCAGAGGATATTTATAACCAAGAACTTCAGTGTGGAAATCAAAGCAATATCGATCAAGTTATCCTGATATTTAATATTAATATTCTAATCAACTATTTTTTTTCTAGCCTGCCTCTTAGATGGAAAAAATAAAATAAAATAAAACAACCACATGTATAACTTATGCTTTATTTCTTACCCTTCTCCAGCTTTCTTATAAAGCGTGCCTAAATATTACAGATTTAAAGCTTAAACTCATGAAATATCCGTGCCTGAATGACTGCTTTCGAAAACAGAAGGGACCTATTGACTTTACTGGGTAAAAACTTGATTGCTATCTTGATTTCTTTCTCTGATAACCTGAGAGCTATTACCAACTTCTTTCAAACACCAACTGGTTCTGCATCACACAATGAAGCGAGTTAAAACCTGACAACTTGATGGGGAAAGACATGATGATGCCAAAATCCCTCATGACTAATGCAGTTCTTTCCTAAATACTTCTGGAGATATTTTTTCTTCTGTATGATTTAACATACAGAGAAGTAACTACCTAAGAACTATTTCTGCTGCTTAACAGAACCTTAAAAAACAAACACACAGCAGCTCTTTTAAGATTTTTTTCTCAGTGACTTTTTTTTTCCAAATTCCCAGGACAGAGGAAAGAAAAGCAAGCATACTTTAAGTTTTCCATTACACATATAAGCCCTGTTTTTAATGTTTTAGCATTCACTTATGGTTACAAAATCTACATACGTAAGCTGCACAGAAAGGCTGGCTCTGTGCCCTAGGGCTATTTTGGCAAGGCTCTGCCAACCTTACACGTGAAGAGCTATTAACAGCAATTCCTCATGTTTTCCATTCAATTTTGTTATTATAATTATTGCATAAAGTGAGGTGGGAGAAAGACTTTCTTAGTGCTTGCTCAGTCATGTAGGAAAGAAGCAGGTTTCCCAGCATAATTCTTCTAATAGATATAAACTTGGATCTACTTTGTGCTCAGGCTCCTACTTCTTTTCCTTCTGTGGGCTCCCCATTAGGCATTCCATATCAAAAACACCTGCAGTACTGATTTAATTCATTAATTAAATAAAGCTACCTGCCAATACTTGGAACACTTTGTTTAGTATTACCCAGGAAGGCTATGACAAAGGCAGGTGTGGAAAGGACTTCCACGTGGCATTTGCTTGCTAATCAAAGACCTCACTTCCTTGTTTGCATTCATCCTGTACAAATGAGTACTGAAGGGATTCAGCCTGCAGCTTCCAATGGTACCACTTTCAATTTCCCTGTGTTAAGCAGAGTTCTAGGACACGCAAACATTAATAGATGATGATTAAATCTATCAATATCTCACTGAAAAACTACACAGCTTCCCAAGTGTTCTACAGTACAGTACGCTTCCTACGTTATAATTATTACTGCAGCTCTTTGAAATCTAACTTCTCAGTATCTTTCCCAAATTCCAGGCAGTGGTTGGGGCATTGCAATGATGGAAATATCAGAGCTAAAAAAAAAAAAAGAGGAGCAACAATGCTTCTGTTCCATTCCTTCCATAAATAAATGCAAGGATAGCACCAAGTCTTTGGCACCAGGAGCTCCAGTTCTACCATTTTTACACCATACCCCACAAGCCTTTATCAGAATCACTTCTTAGGAACAACTCCCATATGCCACCACATTTGGCTTTTCCTTCAAATATGTATTGTTGGCACAGTCTTGGTTTGCCAAGTGATCATTTTGAATCAATAGCCTGTCCTCCTCATTACCCAGTCAATTCCCCAATCTTGTTTTCCATCTGGCAATTTAATCAGTGATCATTTGCTATTTTCTTTCATGGCACTAACCTAAAACTGAAAAAAAGAGCCAAATGCTGATTTATGCATGCCCCATTAGAAAGACGTCCAATCAGTGAAAATTCCCCAATTAGCTGCCTTTTTAAAGTCTTCAGTAAAGTCCTTTTAATCAATTTAATACAGATCACATTGAATTTTTGCTTTGCCTTGTTTGTTCTTCAAAATGGGGTGCAAGTAAAAAAGTCAAAGGTCTTGAAACACTCAACCATAGCTATACTATCAGTCTTACCAGCCAGCCTTGTATTTCCATCCTTAAACATTTTTATTATTGAGCTCCTCCTAAGTCATTTTCCTTTACCACAACTGTAACCTGGTTTCAGCACTGGAGGAAATTATTTAAACTTTGAATTTCAGAGACAGATAGTTCTGTGGCCAAACAAAAAGTTTTAAACAAACAACAACAGAAGAAGTTTGTGTTTTCATTCAAATAGGATATTTTAATAATAGTTTCTATTTTTCACTAAGTGTTCAGAATGCCATAAAATAAACATCTGTACAAAATAATTCCTCCTTATAAGTATCCCTGATGTTCTCATTGGTCTAAAATGCTACTACGTATTAATTTAATGGAATGTACCAACTGCATGTTTCTGTTTATCATTGGAAACCCTCTTAACCCATTCTTTTAATCAATATTCATTAATCAATATTAATCAATCAAAGCAAGGCACCCATTTCTCACTATTTCTGCCAATAATTTGAACAATAACGTTCCATTCAAATGGACAGAGATCAAGAATTTCAGTAATTCAGATCACTTCTTGGCATTCACAGTCTGTGTTTGTGCCAGCAGATATTCAAGGCAAAAATATAACAATCTCTGTTAGGTTACTCAAACCAGCGCTCAGTGTCAAAAATGCTAACAGAAATAGATATTTTGTAAATCAGAAATTCTTATCAACAGCAGCAGCAACTGCCTCTCTGTAGTTAAGCAAAGTACAGAGCAGTACTGAAGTTCATAAACAAGGAAGGCACATACTATGGAAACCAGTGTTATCAATTGTAGTCTGCAGGCAATGATCAGCTGTTCTTCATGGTCCAACAAAAGGTCTTCTAAGTAACACATTGTATTTCTAAAAGTAAATAAACTATTAACCATAAGTTATATTTTTCTGGAATAGCTGAAGCAGACTTATGCTAACGGCACGTTAACGACACTCATCAGTTTGGGTTGGTTGCATTCCTTAAAGAATTACTTTGCATTTCTTTAAAGAACATCATCCCAAGTTAATTACCAGATGAAGTAATCAAAGCAACATGTACCCGTAACACATAAAAATCTACTTATTAACAACAGCTTTTATCAATGTATCTCTTGCTTTGGAAGTAAGAACAGGTTAAATATTAAAAACAGAAGAAAATTATTGTAAGGAGAAGCACCGAACTTGCAGTAAAAATCCACAGCTATCATACAGTCTTTGAATCATCCGTGTACAAGCTCATACTGATGTGAGTAGGCAGCTGAGATACAGAATTGGAGCCAAAGGGAATTTTTAAAAAATAAATAGTGTTAACTGTAGACCAATAAAGCTTTTAAAAGAAATGAAATCCTATTCAATACGCTGCGGCCACATAATTTTAATTATTAAAAAAGAGAAATCAACAGTTGGCATTCTGTAATTGCTACTACAGGCAGTGTCCTTGTAACTACTGAGGGGAAAAGTAATTAAATTATAAAGCTAAGTCCTAAAGTCTTTGTTCGGGCAAAATTTCAACAGAAGTTTTCTTAAATAATGACTCCAAGTTTTTCTTCAGAACATCTAAACACTTTATTTTTTCCTGCAAGTAAAGCTCAAGATGAGGGTAATAAATAAGATCACTTTATTTTCATCTCAGAGATCAAATGACATTTACTGACTTTTTATTACGTTACCTTTGCTTCTGTGAACTGAAACCACCAAGTTTCCACAGGCCTTAAAAATACCCTACGAACTGAAATAGAAATGTCGACGTAGCTTTGCTGTATAAACTCTCAGCCACAGCAAAAATGGAACTGTTACAGAACTCACCACAGGTCCCTTAGAGTAAAGAAGATAGTTCAGATACTCTTTTAGTTTTCATTTGTGGCTCAAATGCTGATGAACATTGTAAAAAAAATAAAGCAAAGTTACAAAGTAATGGCATCACAATGCGCTGCTGACTAAGAAAAATCCTCTAACGCAAAACAACTGGCAAAGCATCCATGATGCAACTGAAATACTAAACTATCTGAGAAAGTAGGACAATTAATTGCTTCACTAAATTTAAATCTAAATACGTAGATGCTAACATTTGGAAAATTATTTATTCAGATAATAAAAAGCATTCTAATGGGGTTTTTTTGTTTTTTGGGTTTTTTTTTAAACCACAGCAACTCAGCATGCCGGTGCAAGGGCTCTGGGAAAAAAGACTTTGAGTCATATACCTTAGTAGTACAGTAGAGTTCTCCATACAAATCATCCCCAATGACAGCATAAACAACACATAAAGCTTCTATCAATCCTGTGATACGTTACTGATAACCAGTTGAGGTCAGATGCAGCAGAAACACTGAACCCTACCCAGACTCAGATTAATCCTAGTTCTATTTCCTTCAGAAACATGGATGCTGTAGAATTGTAGACTTTGGAGACAGTGAGTTATGCATTTATCTGCTCTCTGTAATTCCCTCCTACCCACTATTTTTATAGTGGATCAATGAGCAAAAACTTACTCTACAAGGAGTATAATTTACTTTGTTAGTGTGATTTGCAGATTGAGATAGGACTGAAAATGAGCAGCAGCAGTCTACATCAACATATCTAAATCACCTACAGTCATATCATGAGAACAAACTATTTTACATAAATATTATAAATAGGTCTATATATTACATCTATATGTTAATATATAAATGTCTATTATGTATATCTATAAATATATTATATATACACACAAAACTCATTCTCTATAAAAAGATTAATTAGGAAGTGGGTTTGTTTTTGGTACCATGCAAAACTACAACAGAAACTTGCACCACAATAAGAAACAGGCCTTAAAGCTCTCCAAATGAATGTTTTACTAAATGTAATTAAAAAAAAAACAACCAACCAACATCAAGTCTACAATGAAAAAAAAAAACAAATAAAATATTAATATTCAATGTATTTGTACATTCACTGAGATGAAGAGGTATTTCCCTGATCCTCAATTGCAAATACAAAAGACACAAAACATCACAGTATCTAAACTCTGCCTTTTCTAAGAGGTTTCTGCTTTTTCCAATCCTTGTAGTTCCAGCTGTTTGGTTTTTTTTTTCTTGCAGAGTATTATAACTAGTTTTCAGTATGTAACTGGCTTAAGGTTTTAAGCAAAGTGGACCTCAAAAAACAAGACTGAGGTATCTCATCATCTTCCTTATGACTACCCCCCTGCCTTCTTATAGCAAGGCATATTTGCCTTTAGAATTTATACCTTCCATTAGTTTCTCTCTAGTTCACATGTGCTTTCTGGCACTCCCATGTTACTGAGAATCATGCAGTTTTAATTTCATTTCTCACAGAAGTGTAAACCCCCCAGGTGTTACACATTACTACTTACTTTCAGGTTTTGAATCCACTACTGCATGATGCATCTCTTTCAGCTGGAGCTGTGCTCTTTGCAGTCTCTGCTCTGCATGGAATAACTTTGGAGAGAAAATTGCACACGCATAAGCTCATTCCTTTGAAATGCATTTCCAAGTAACTAAAGCAAAAGAGTATCACAAAGAATCCTGAATACAAAAAATGGTAGTTACCAGCTTGTGGTTCACAAGGAAACATGCCAAAACAATTTTCAACAGTTGGCCTGGATTTACTTATTCTTTACTGTTAATTAAGAAAAGCATTGTATTCCCAAGTAGTATTTTCTCTATGGCACAAATTTCTTAAACTGTTTTCAAGCAAACATTCAAGTGGCTTGAACACTAAAAGAGCAGCAAAAAAGCTAGTCAGGATTGCAGTAGAAAATTCTCTTTGTGCTGCATCTCTTGGAAGGCAGCTGAATTGTCACAGCAATCCACTATTCTGTTGCTGAGCCAAGTAGAGAGCACACAGAAAAGCTTGTTGCCAAACAACAGCAGCCAGGTGAACAGTATTTCTGCTACTTAGAGAAATGTGTGATAAGAAGCAGAATCACCTGGACACCACAGTATTTTCTTGTTACCTCCCTCAAGAAAGGACCAATGGCTTGAAAACCTTCTGATTCACATTGATTCCAAATCAGTATGTTGACTGTAATAATAGGCATCTGAATTTAACACTGCTTTAAAAGGAGCAAAAGTTCATATTCTATTTGAAATCAACAGAATTGACTGAGATGATAGAGCAGGCTGGCTTGGGAACATGCAACACAGCTTAGGAATGAAATCCACCCCTACATCCAGATACCAGCTGCTTCTAGTACTTACTAGGACATTACCTTTGTGAGACTCAGGGACAAAACCCCAAGTTGCTCCTGAATACAAATTATATTCTCCCTGCACTGATCCACAGCAAAAAGCTGTGCTACTTGTTGTGTTACCACACAATCTTATTGCAAGTGCACAGAGATACAATCAAACTAAGGAAACATTTGCTCACTACCATAAACATGAAGACCTCTCTCTGGGTGCTCCCACAGTAAGCCATGGAACATTTCCTATGATTGCTAAATGATGATGTCAGGAGTAGTTGAGGCAGCCAAATATCTCAAATGAGACGTTCAAAACTTGCAGCATCAAGCCTCTTCCTTTAAGATGCACACAGGTATTTGTATTTTACACAGGATTTAATTTTCTGCTATTAGGAGAAGCAGCACTGTTTTGTTCCTGATGTACTTCTTTACACACACAATCCCCAGACAGATATAAAAACTATTTATTTTAAGAGGTACACTTTTATGGCAATACCTGACTTTTTTGTTCTTGTTTCTGTTGAGCCAAAGATTCTTCTCTCTCTTTTTCTAAGCGAAGCTGTCTTGCTATTTCAAGCATTCGTTGATGATTTTGTACTGTCTCCACCTACAGCAAGTGGATAAATAGTGCATGTTACTGTCAGATAGTTGAGAAATACATTAAAGAGATCATATGTCTAACAAACCCACTTAGCACTTCCTTTCCATACACGTTACTACTCAGAAATGACAGCAAAGTACTGGACTCAAGATTCTTAAAAGCTCTGGACTAACGCCTAGGAGATTCCCTGTAGGTCAATTAGTTATTTGACTCCTTCCTCGACACGCAGTATGTTTATTCTAATCCTTGTTTGCATTCCAAAATCAGAGTTGCAAGCCAAGGATTATGACACTGAAATGTAACAGCGTTACTTCTCTTATTACCCTCTTCTTAAGACGCTCCACTCTTTTGATGAGTTGATCTTTCTCCTCTTCCATTGCACTTATATCCTAAACAGCAGCAAAAACAGATAAAGAAATGTGAATTCACTACATGGTGCAGATTGAACTAAACTCTGTACAAGTTACTGTGAAAAGCAGAATTTATCTCTGAATACACCTGAAGCAGTTATAACCTTATCAATCTGTGAACAGAATGTCCAGGATTCTTATCCTGGATAAGAATCCAGGATAAGATAGGATAAGAAGATATGTCCAGTCCTGCTCATCTTTCCTACTTCTTCCTCAGTTTCCACTCTCTGCATCCTTCAGTATTAATGTGAGCATTTAAAATAAAAGCAGATGTATTTAAAACAAAAAACAAAAAACCACCCAACAAAAAACAGAAGAACAAGCCCTACACCCCACAGAAACAACCGAGCAAAAATCAGCACAATAAAACACATGATGCAATTAAACATCTGTTCTTAAATCTTCCCATTATCCACTTCCTGGCAATCTGCATGAAGTTGTACCATAAAACTTGCAGTTATACTCTGCATAGGAGTTAAACTTACTGATACTTTTTCCATTAAAACTGTGTTAAAAGAAATAATCTATGGTTCTAAAACACGTATCCAATTATCCTTCTTTCCTCCTACCTTACAACAGCAGGATCCCACATATTAACAACTATGAGAGAAAGGGAACTAAATTATCAGGTTAGGCCTTATCTCAACATTTGCTTAACTTGTTTGTATGTCTTAATGGAAAGCTGGATTCATGCTCAAACATTTTGATGAAACAGGACAAATATCTTTACTAACACTTTAGCCACATAGAAACACCATTTTTGTTGACTTAGGCTCTTAATTCATTCAACCTCTGAAATTATTACCCTATATCAGTAAAGTTCAAGGTTTTATATCAATCTGTGGTCACAGAAAAAGAGCTCCAATATTTGAAAATCATGCTGAACACAGTCTTGGCAGCCTCGTTTCCCCATCTGCTCCACAAAGCCCAGTTCTAAGCATGAGCAAGGACTTTCTGTTTGCCAACAGAGAACAGTTTCAAAACAGCAACTGAGTGCCAATCAGCTCTGACCTCTATAATGTACACACTGCAGTGAGTTCACAAAACCAAAAAATTAGAACATTTTTAAAAAGCATACATAGAAACAATGCATTTTTGTCATATTTTTACCCTTCTTATTTCTGCAGTAGATAAACCAGATGTTTTGAGCTGCTCACATTCCTTATGTAGGTTTTTAAATGCTTCCATCAGTTCTTCATACTACAAAATGAGATAAAATTATGCAGAATGAGCTCTATGGCTGAGGGTTTTCAGGCCAACGTTGCTTTACTATTAAGACAGTAAATACAGACAGAAATATTGTAAAAACAAGAGTTAAATGGATTTTTCACCACTAAAACTTAGGAACTTATGAAGCAGAAGAAAAAAATATAACATTACATTATCTCCCATTTAAAGTTGATTGTCAGAATTTCCATGATTTCTTTAGCATTTTAACCTCTCCCCCTGTAACACACAACGTAGTTTCAAAACAAGATGTAAGCTGAGAGGGACAATGCTACATTAACTGTTCTCCCTTACTATAAACCTGCATACATCACATGTGTAAACTTATCAAGCTAAAAAGGGAGAGCTGGGTCTAATAAGATGCTTGAGAGAGGCAATGGAGCTGGAGCACTGATTTTCTCTCCAATAAAGCAGCCCCAGAGCACACCTGACTTAACACGTGAGAAACAGTTTTGCCACATTGCATAATGGTTTCCTCGGTGTATTATAGAGGCTGATATATGTAGCTTGGTTTTTAGGAAGAAGTAGACAGTGTGCTACCTCCATCCCAGTACATTGCCCACCAGCACTCTTCAACTGAGAGGCAGTGTGAAAGTCTGTGTGGGTAGAGAAATAACAGGGGACAGAAAGAGTTTAGAAATATGGATGGGAAATAAATTTAGATTCAACTTGAAGAAATGCAAGCTGAGAGATAGGAAAGAATAACCTCTGCAGAAACAGCCATTCAATAAGATGGAAAATCTAAGCAGAGAATATAATTTTTTTTTTTTACTTCCTGGAAAGAGCAATTGATATGACTGTTGAATACAAAATGGCAAAGGCCAGGTTAAACAAAGGTGGCAAATCTGTGACAAGTGAAGCAGCAATTCCATCGCATAGAACCCTGAGGAACCAGCAGCTGGAATACTCCCTTTTATTGCTGGTTGTTTTAGGAGCAGGCACAGTAGGACATGCTGGAGCAAATTCAAAAAACAGCAGTAAAATGGCCACTGGGAAAAAGATGATGTAATCAAAAAGGGCTTGACTAAGTGACAAATAAAGGTATGATCAGAAGGTACATGCAGGCTGGGTGATGAAAAATGAGTTTTAAAAAAAAAAAAAAACAGAAGTAAAAATGCAACTGCCTTGTAGCTCACTTAGGTGTTGCAGAAGTACTTCAACAAATAAGAAGACAGCAAGCCAACTGGGAGCAACTGTATTCATTGCTGGTTCCAAAAGCCTTCCTTTGCATCCCTTCTCTACCTCTTTCAAAAGGTAAGTTTAGGGAGTCTCTTCCTCATAGGGACACAACATTTCCAGGCACTTGGCAAAACCCAAACACGGGCACAGCATAGTTTGGCAAACCAGAGCAAATGGGAGGTTTCCCACTTCCACTAAAAACAAACAAACCAACCAACCAGCAGCATTCCAGCCCACGCACCTGAAACAACTGACACACTCAAATGACCAAACAAAGCCCAGGTTTCAGCAGCACAGTGATTCCTGGCACCTGGCAGCATCTCATTGAAGACTGGTCAATCAGATTTTCGCCTAAATTTAATTACTTTTAGAATTATACACTGCAACCAATTTGATGTCCAAATCACAAAATCAAGGAAGTGCCAGGATTCTGAGAGCCCTGTTTAGGGAATTTGCAGTACAGGTGAGCTTGATTCTACACACCCATAAAACTTGCTTATGTTCTAAGATCTCCAGAATTTCACATTTGAAATGTTTCTATTAAAATGCACCATCACATGCCTGCCTACATAAATAGTTGAGGCTAAATTCTTTAATTCATTAGGATCTAAATATTTTCATGGTAATGCTGTGTTACATAAAGAGACTGTATTACCCCAGCTTCTGTTCTGAGTTAAATCAGAAGGGTATTGGTTTAATGAGATGGTTTTATTACTGCAATCCCAAAAAGGAATACATCTTACGTAATGGAAATAATGGAGATGGATATTTATACATATTGAGACTGTGACATACTGAGAAAACTTACAACCTGCATTCCTTCCTCTCCTTCCTACTTCTGCTCAGTTGTTCAAAGTTATAAATCAGACCTTGCTAGTGCCATCAAAAAAGAAAATCAGTCAAGCTACAGAGCTTTGCTGGTGCACAGCTAATAAGCAAATTTACCTGTTACGAATGCTCACAAACACTGTGATTTGCAAGCAACTACACAGGACAAAAGGCAGAGAAAACTGGATCAAAATAAAGTAAACATGTGCCTCAGATAACACAAATTATGTAAAAACGTAATTCTGGTTCACGTGTAGCTCTGCTTTTTAAACCCACCCACCCTCGTTGTCTAAAAATCAACATTTAATGCTCAGAAAAGAAGAGGAAACATAGTAAATAGGAACATCAGCCAAGGAAAAAGAAACTTCTGACTTCTCACAAAAAAAAAAAAAAAAAAAAAAGAAAGAAGAATGGTTGAAGCAGAAGTGGGGTAACACTAATATAAATGTTAGGGGCTAAGTATTATACCTTCAGTTGACAATTGTAAGGCAGCCATTTTTGTTCATAATGTATGCTGAGCTGATTTATAAAGTTAAAAATATCCATGTTAGAGTTCACAGAAGATAAAAAAAAAAAGCATTAAAAAAATAAGAAAAAAAAAGTATATTTCTTAGGCAGCATAAAAATGAAGGCTAATCAGCACACAATATTTGATCAGTGAGCCTAAGTCCTTCAATTTAATGCTACCTCTTCCTAAATAATGCAAGGCTTATTGGAGGTGGTTAAAACGTGTTTATTTTCATGAGTGGTTGTCAACCTTTGATTGTAAAATGCTCTTATCATAACTCTCTTGAACGTTAATCTCAGCAGTAACCCCTCAATTTATGTATCCATTCTTCTATTGGCACTTCAATTAGTTCCTATAAAATGTTGGCATAAGTGAAAAACACTACCTGCTTGTTGACGTCAGCCACAGTATCATCCTGTAGGAACTCCACTGGCACGTCCAGTTTTACCAAGAAGCGTGCCAGATAAGCCCTTTTCTTGAGTTCATTGGTTCTCTGAAGAAGCCAATGTAAGACAGGATGAATTACAGGTTTGCTTCCCGTAACCAACCCTTGGCGAAATGCGCTCCTATTCAAAAACAACAACAACAACAACAAAAAGTATCACCTACTATCAGTAAATCTCAAACGAAAGAACACTGGCTGGAAAGTTTGCAGTGTTTTGACTTTCCCATTCCACTTCCCTAATGGCTTTCTTATTGTAGTTAATACAGAAGGTAGTCACGGTGCCAGTTTGCTATTTACAATCCTGATTCTGCTACCGTGAGGCACACAGAAACCCCATAACAAAACAAAATGATAAAGCCTGCAAAAATGATTCATCCTTCCCAGCAACATTCTTCTGGAAAAGAGAAAATGAGGGCAGGTTTTCAGGGTTACCACCTGGCACTGGAAGGTGGCACTGCAGCCTGAAAGGACGGGGGGGGGCAGAAGTGACCCTGCTATGCAGGCGGCACCCTCTCCTGGCAGACTCCACAATAGCAGCTGCTGCAGCCGAGCCCCGGGGCTGCCCCACACCTGCGGGAGCCTTGTGCTGCCCTACCAGTGGGACAAAACAGGAGCTCTTTAACACGTTACACATGTCCACTGCGATGGTCAGGGTCAAAAATACAAAAAGAAACCCTGAACTAAAGGTTGCTACATAGAAGCTGTAACACCTTTTATCATGATTCGTGGATTAAAAGATACTTACAGGTCTGTTACGCTTCCTGGAGGCTTGTATTTAAGGATACCGAGGAGAGTCAACATTCTTTTAGCTGTATTCTCTGGCAGCTCCTCTCTAACGTCAACAGCATGCTACATAGTTTGAAACATACAAATAAATATCCAGTATTTGTTCAAGTCATTTCAACTTTATTCACTTATCACGTGTCAGTGGAGTGAGTTCCATATAGAACATTCCTTTTATGACCAAGTTGTTATTATCTTTAAAATATTTTCCTCCTATGTGCATATTCAGGTAACTTTATTCCAGTCTTAAGTTCTCCCCACTCATAGGACCTCATCTATTCAGAGGAAGAAATTACTTCCAAGTCTGAGATTCTACCACAGCAGAACATGGACCTCTATACCACTGGTACAGAATTGATCCCTTCGGATCTCACACCTTTGGTAGCAGCATTGTAAGGGGAGTCAGTAACTCAGTTACCAGTTGCAAATGAGAAACCATTCTTAGTCAGCTCCTACACTACATATGTGAACAAGATTTAGCCTGACTTTTGACTCAAGAATAGAGTTGCTGTCAGTCTGAACCAATTTAAGATCTCTACCTTGATTCCCAAGTTAAAACATAAAGTCACCAGTCTCTGGTGGACGAGGATCCAGCATGCTGGCCCAAGAAACGTTTGTTTGCTCACCAACAACTTGTAGATATATAGCCACAAAGGATTCTTGCCAGGCACATTTATTTCCAGGAAGACTCATACAAGCTATTTTGGTAAACCAAACATGCCACAAAGATACACACCGCCAGACCTAAGTAAAAGCATTTCGTGCAGTTTTTGTGACAGGCCAACTTAAGACGTTGGCAGTTACCCAGGTCTGAGCACCTCTGATTGCCCTCCTTACCTTCGGGTCAATCTCCCCCAGCACATCACTGAGCAGCTGCAACAGCTGCACCGACTCTAAGGAGTCAAACGTGATTAAATTGTAGTTCTTCCTGAAGGGCTCCTGATTGAGCTTCTCAACAATGAACTGGATTTGGTCACTCATGGTCGCGTCCTGGAAGAACCTCTGCAGGAGAGCCGGACGAGACGCCACGAGGCCTCAGCGGGGCCAGGGAGCTGAGGGCTGCCGGGAGTGCGGCTGAGCTCGCGGCTCAGCGAGGCCCTCAGCAGCACTGCGGCCTTCAGCCTGCACCGGGCTCGGTACAGCCAGCCCCTCACCCCCGAGAGGGTGATGAAAACCCTCAAGGAGCGCGGGCGGAGGCAGCCAGGCCCTCTCGGGGCCACCCCGTGCCGTGAGGTAACGGAGCCGGGGCCGCCTCGGCCTTCACCCCCAGCTCGCGCCTCCACGTTACCCTGGTAACGGTTGCCAGGCCCGGCGATGACGTCACTTCCGGACGTGCCACGCGGGCTTCAGCTGGAGAGGCGCGCGCATGCGCAGAGCGGCGCATGGAGTTGTGACCTCTGCGGAGGAGCTGGGACAGAAGGGAGCCGTTCGGGTTGTGGGGACCGGGTCCCTCTCCCTTCCTCACATCATGCTGCATGGGGGGGGGGCAGCCCGAAGCGGCCCTAAAAGCATCGCAGCCTGCCCTGGGTTTCGCATCCCACTCCCACTGTGAGCCTGGGGGAGGTCGCTGTGCCCCCGCAGTGTACACGCAATATTCTGTGCGGGGCGTTCACAGAACAACGCTCTCGAAGCAAGGAACGGCGGCAATGGGGCTTATATATAGATTTTGGATTTTGGAGCCTCTGCTCTTTAGTTAGCTTTGTGGATTGTCTTAGAAACACACGTGAGTTCACATGTGATGGAGTAAAACACGCAGTGAGTCATTACATTGATGCCGTTAAATTGAAATGCACAGCTTGTTTATTCGGTAAGCAGCAATCATAAATGTAACACTTTGCAATTCTAAACAATGTTTCCACCTTAGATTAGTTCCCCTCTTCTTTCCGGGGAATAGGAAATGTCTCATAAAATACTAATTTACCCATTTTTTTTCTAAAAGCCTGAGAAGTGACATCACATGTCTGTCCTCGCTTTTCACTGGCTGAACAAAGTCACAAAGGGGATGGATGAGCTGCTCTTAATTGTACATGAAAGCTGCGATGGAGCCAGGAACATAATCCAAGTCTCCTGACTCCTGGATTTGAACTTTAAAAACCAGATCGTGTTTCCTTTGTGCTTTCTGTCTGCACACTGACCTTTAGGAATCGTACTACCTACAAGTTCCCAGAAGAGATCCACTTTCCTTTGACATGCTTTCCTGGTATCAATTACGCTTTTCTTCTGATTAGTATTTTGAGCATATAGAATGCACAGGGGGAGCAAATGAAAATGGTATTTTCTGTAGAGGCACTGGGGATGAGTTCTGCTCCCTGTAGGTGACACTGATGGGTAATAGGAAGTGGTAGGTGTCATCAATCCTGGGCACTACTTCCTTAATTCTGGAGAAACAGTGTTTCTGCAAATATGGATGCACCTCCTCAGTCCTCAATACAGGGAGAGAACAGACTGTGCTCACAGTGCTGAGATGAGAGGGTGTGGATCTGGGCTGGATATGGCCAGGAGGTGCTGCTCTGACCTTCTCTTTCACTCCTCACACCTTCTGAGAAGCAAAGGACTATCCCCTGCTTTTCATGTCTCCTTAATGGTATAGAGATGACAAGGAAGAGAAAGGATGCTTGAAAATTAGAAAACCCCAAGATCAGACAAGAAAAGATGCCAAGATTGAATCGCTCTGTCATGATGAAAACCCAGGAGCTTGGATCGTTCTGAGTCTGAGGGGGAAACAAGACCTCTCTGATGAGAAGTCAGGGTGAGCTCCAGCATGCTGGCCTGTTTGAATGTACTTATGATTCAATACCAGAGCAAAATTATACATCAGAGTTCCTTGGGACTTCCCATGTCAGGGAAAGCATGGGGGATCCTGTGGTATCTTTTCATGATCCCTTCTTCCAGTGGTTTTGTGCTATTTATCCATGCAGCCCATTGTAGCCAGACTGCTACCCCAGGTTACCTACACACTACTTGATATTTGCCCTCAGTAATAGTGCATGAATTTCTCAAACTTACTTCTTAAAAAAACAAACAAAACAAAACAAACAAACAAACAAACAAACAAAAAACCAGTATAATAGCTTATTCTATAATGTCTTGACTTCTGTATGACAGAATCTTCACAGACATAAAAGATATCATAGCTTTTAGTTCAGCCTTGGGTAAATGTCAGAGGAGGCAGTTGAGAATTCTGATGTGCTATCTGAATCAAATCTTACTGAATTGAAGGCCACTGTTTATATACATCTGTTGCATAATTCCATGGGCATTTTCCAAATTCTCAAGTTAGCGTGCGTGAAGAGTCATACAGAGTTTCAAGCAAAGTTTCCTGATGACTAGAGAGTTGTTAGAACAGTGCATCCCTGTCATCCTATTCAATTCCCTGGATAGGGTTTATGCTTTATACTGCTCGGGAAGAGCGTATAGAAATTGCTTATTGAAAAGGTGCCATGCAGAGGCAATGAGCAGAAGAAAAACAATGGAGCAAAATAAACTATCCAGACCAATTTAGATCTGCAGGCACATCTTCATTACTCTCTCCTGTCTTTCTCCTCCCTTTATAGCTACAGCTGTGTGGATGACTGCCTTGTAAAACTGCAAGAGCTCGAGCATAGGGGCCAGCAAATCAGAGTGGAACGAAACCTGAGCAAATCGAAGTCGTGCTCCACAGGCAAAGAGAGATCACCTTATATGGGAACATCCATGGACAAGAAGATGAATGCATCTGCCCTTGCTGCTGAGGTCAGATCCCAAACAGATAGAAGATGTTAATGTGAAAATGAGAGTGTTTAGGAAGCAAAGACAATGCTCACTGAAGCTTATTTTATACAACCCAGGTCCTCTTGTTTCTTTTTCATTTGTTTGTTTTTCTTATTTAATAATAAATATTGTTATATTTGTATATAACTGTAAGTCTGACTGGCATATATTAAAAATCAATATATTTGTATCTGTTCTAGCACCTAAATGCATCCCAAGTTTGTTTCTGGTTCTTACCAATTGCGTCTTTTTTTGTTGTTATTACATAGCAGGATTTTGCTCGCTGAAGTCTCTAATATCAACTATAGCAATATGGATTGTGGTCAGCAAAGGCAAAAGGAATGATTGCTGATGTCTCAAAAAATTAAGCCTCTTAGAATGTGATCTGTTCCTGTGTGCTAAAAAACCAGTCTGATTCCACATGCTTTGTCACAGCTACAGCAATAGGCAGCGTCCTAGGTGATTTAAAACAGTAAAGGAAGAAAGACATTACCTCTGTGTTGCACGCTTTGAACATTTGGTGCCTCTGTGCAGGTCTTCTGTTGCAAGAGAGAGTAGCCTAGTCCTTTAAAGATAAGTGTGATAGATTGTGATCCAAGCTTCTTTTCTTTCAGACTTCGAGAATAAGATTTACAGATCCCACCTCAACCGCTCTGCACTTTTACAGCTCCTTTGTTTATAGCATCAGATGGTGGCTTCACACCTGCTCCTTAACCCCATTTGCCAGTTGCCAGTATTTGGTTTGCAGCTCACTGACCAGCTTGTGCATGCAACTGTGCAGTGTGAGAAACCACAGACAACGTTATATACCTTGCCCTGCTCAGCACTGTGATTTTGTTACCCAGTTGTACTGCCTCTTAGTACCATGACCTGGCAGAAAACCATCCTGAGACCAAATAGGACAGTGTCCTATGTAACCTGAGGTAAAAAGGTGAAGATCCCTGTGGCCACTGGTGTCCCAAAAGCTTGCTTTACCATTGCCATTCTTGCGTGGGCATTGCCACCCCTGCAGTATGGATTTGGACGTGTATGGCACCTTCTTTGCACTAGTGCAAATTGTTGGGTGGTGGGGACTCAGGCTCAGAGGGAGGCCAACATCATGCTAGTTTCAGTCCTTTCAGATTGATCTCTGCATTTGCCCCTGCTTCAGGCAAAGCATCCACTTGCATGTCATTCACTGCGTAGTGCTGAGAGCAAGAGCAGGTGGTTGCAAGAAGGTTGACATGCAAACCTCAAGGAGAGTCCAGTGAGGTACTGGCCCACATATTGATATAGCAGTGCCGTCTCCTGGAACGCCAAGCAGCAGAATTTGCAGTGGAGTACTCAACTTCTGGTGGGACCAGTACAGCTGGAAGGTTATTTTTGCAAATGCACAATGATTCTGTTTTTGAGAAGAGCTGTTCTGGAGCCTGGAAAAACACGGGCAGGAGCCTCCTGACCTTCATGTACTGCTGCTCTCCCAGTGTAGTAGTGCTGCTCTGAGCTGCTTTCACCATCTGAGCAGCTTCTTCTGCACTGATGTTCCTGTAGCTCTCGGTTTCCCCCTTGCAAATGTAGACAAGGGAACCATCAAGATTCCTCTGTGGTGGCTGAAGCTACCCAGCACGTCATGGAAACCATGGTTAGTGATGCACCCACAGCCAGCTAGAGAAGTGGTTGTAAATGATCAGCTCATTTTAGAGATACTGAGTAAGATGCATTGGGAAAGGATGTGATATGAGAAGGGCTGCACAATAACCCCAAGGCAGAAACCACTGAGCTTCTTTCTTTATCTCTTTTCTCTGTCTTAAGGCCTTTCGTGTGAAAATAAGTGGCCTCAGCTAATGATGCTGTGGTTTGACCAATGGTAGGTGTTCCAATGTTTATGTGATACCTAATCCTGTTTCTACTGAAGTGTTTTGGAAAAAATGTGTCGAATTCATTCTGCAGACTCAAGTCTTTTAAGCAATAGAAAAGTATTCCATCCTCCTTCAAGTCAGGGCAGCACCTTCAAAGTGTTTACTACTTCACAGAGTTTTCTCAGTCTGGTTTGAGGTCTGGACAGATTCAGTGAGAGGAAATTCTCCTCCAGACACTGCACAAGTCAGACTTGAGAACTTAGAAGAAAATTGTCTCTTTTTTTCTTTTTCCAACTTTAAACTTTTTAACTTTAAACTTTTTATCTTTAAAAAAGCTGGGCCAGCTGAGGACTACCATTGATATATCTGACATTTAGACTTTTCCCTTTGAAAAAAGTCCGAATTCAGAAATTTAAAGCGCACTACTGATACTCGGTTGAAGGGAATTCAAAAAATCTTCCCTCTCTGAAAACTCCCTTTGTCGCACATAAACGTGGGTGGCTGTGAAGAGCTTGTATTTCTGTCAATGGAAATAAACAGTTCCCTAAAATAAGGCAGATTCCACTAAGAAGTTAGTTTGTCCTTTTTCTTCTCTGGACAGATAAATAAGGCATTTGATATTCTGTCTCCCACTTCCTCATATTCTTTATTTTTGATTAATCAAAATCAAGCTCTGATCCACCAGCTGCCTTTCTTTTGAAGGCCTGTGGTACCATTCTACTCATACAAATTTCTGGCTGTGCCTTTAAGTGGTGTGGCCTCAAAAGGATGCAAGAATAAAAGAAGACAGCATCGGCCACTTGCAGTTTCTATAAGCTCACAGGAAACATTAACAATGGTTGCACGTGGCTGGATGAAGGATCTGTTCAATTATGACTCCCCAAAACTGATCCGTTTTCCGAGTGTTGGATGTGTCTGTGTGAAGTGGTTCATTTATGGAGTTATTGCTGTGTATATTTGGTAAGTGTGGGGTGACGGGAAATGGCACCAAACACAAACAAGTGTTTGTTGTGTTGGGGGTTGTCTGGGTTACAGAGCGGCTTTCAGAGCTGTCAGTTCTGTGGTAGCAACTCCTGATTATTGATTTGGTGTTAGACCACTCTTGGAAGATGGATTTGGCAGTGGGAGCTTTGTGGTGGGATTCTGGCAGGGGAAATTATCTCACAGGGTGGGGTTGTTGAAGTTTAACTGAGGTTTCACTAACAAATGCTTGTGGTTTCATTTTCTGCTATGCTGTTTTTGTTTCTTGTCTATAAACCCAGACTCACTCCATTGAATAATCTGACATTTACATCAGTTTTTCTGAGATTAGAGTGTGTTCCACAGAGTCTCCTATCAGGACTAGATCTACCTAACAGATGAAATAGCCAATCAAGCTCTTGAAGCAGATTTCAAGAACAATAAGGTGTTTAGGAATAAACAATAATAGATTGCCTCTAAAGGGCAAATTTTCCTCCTTGCTGCCAAAGTAGGGCTGTTTTCAGTGATAAGTCTTTGCCGAACAAAGTCTGCCAGTTCAGAAAGTGATTTATTTCCTACGTGAGGGCAACAAGCCAGGACATGGAGCACACTGATCCCAATCTTGCTAAGAATCAAGTCTGCAGGAAATGCAAGCACCTACTGCTGCTCAGAGCTGGGTTCCTACTGCCAGTTTCCAAAAGGATGATTATCCCAAAATACTGATCTCCAGAAAGAGAAGGCTGAAGTGCTGTTACAATATAAATGAACAATAAAAAATACCAATATAAATGAAGGAGCACTGATCAAATGCTTTCTGTTTCTGTTCTTTAGCAAAATTTGTTCATTCCAGAAGAGTCTGCTGCTAAACTGAAATGATGCTGAACCACACCTGTGGCTATGCAACAAGATTGTTTTTCAAAGCAAACATTTTATATGACTTTTATGTAGTGCGGAAACTACCTTCTGGACATACAGTAGTTCTTCAAAGATATCACTGCCTGCATGATTAGATGAGCTAAATCACTTCCTGTCAGTGTAAAAATAGAGATGATCTACTATTAACACACTCAATTCACGAGAAAATGAAACTATTAGGCCAAAGTTTTTGAAGCAATCAGCACGAGGCAAAAAAAAAGTCACAACACTGGAAAATTAAAGATTAAATATTCTAACCAGGATGTGACCTGAAGTTGTCCACAGCATTTAGGATGGGAAAACAGAAATTCTCTTTGTGCATTTTTCAACTCATTCCTGACAAAGTGAACATTGCAAAGGTGAATTCAAGGAGAACTTGGGCTCAAGCAGTCTCTCTTGAGATGACATCTGTCTCACACCAAAAGGGTTGAAAATGCCTGTTTGACTTTACGATGCAGTTCATTTTGTCCAAGAATGATACAAAAAGCCAATTCATTTTATTTTTACGAGTTTTCTTGTCCCCTCTGTTTAATTTGTGCAGTTATACACTCATTGTTCACAAGCGCTATCAAGAGAAAGAGGAACTTACCAGCTCAGTTCGCATTAGCCTGAAAGGAGTGGCTCATGCAGACAGGATCTGGGATGCAGCAGAATACACCCTACCAACACAGGCAAGTCTTAATTTAGTGTCAGCACAATATTCCAATTCTGTCAATACATCTGGTTTCTTTCCTGGTACGTCTGCTGGAATGAGCAGTAATATTAAAGGAGACTTAACATTTGAGACAGCAATGTTTTAAGCCAAACCTACCTTTCCCCAACAGGGGAAAAAAGGAAAAAGATTGTTCTTTTCAATGAGATGTTTGTGGTGCTATTTGTTACACTTTTTTTTTTTTACTATATCAGTTTAATATTTTTATAGTAACAAACCTAGGAGCTCCATACAGCTATACTCCAGTATAGCTGTACTAAACACAGTATTGTTATTGCTAGTTAATGCTATTGTGTCTTTCTAGGTTGTAATGCCAGTATTTAAAAAAAAACATCAGTGTCTTTTTGCCTTGACTGCTCATTTGTGCCCTGATGCTGTCTCTGGCTTTTCCTGTTTGAGCTGGGGAGAATTTGAGCATCTGCTGGGGGGAGATAGAGCAGCAACAGCCTTGTTGTCCTACCAGGTGATGTCCTGAAGAGGCTGAGGTCTGAACAAAGTACGTGAAATTTCAGTCATATTCATTTTCTTTTCCCCATGTAGACAAGAGACTCTTTTTTTGTGATGACCAATGTCATTCGGACAGACAATCAGATTCAACAGACCTGCCCTGAGGTAAACATTTTTTTGTAATTTATACTTAAGATGA